ATGGAACATAACAGACTATTTAGTGCATTAAATACTTTGACTGACTAAAAAGGAATGAAATGTGACAAAGTGAGAATTTTGAAATCTTAAAAGTGACAAAAGCGACCCCACTACCCCCTCTTGGGGAGCCCTCTGAAGGAATACACTGGTTTAACAGTATGCAGCTTTACTGTATATAACCGTTCTTCTAAAGTGTTTACATATTCTTGAACCAGGCAATCAGTACTGTATTAATTATATATTAATTATATATTATGTTGACATGTTATCTACTCAGTTGAGGAATGAATGGAATTTAGTTTAGGTCAAAATAGAGGATTAAACTTTTATAAGTTGTCACAATTTTAAAATTTTTTATTTTCACACATTTTTATGTTGCCCATTTCTTTAAAATTGCACTTTATTACATGATTATGCTTTGATTTTTGAGCTTATTTAGCAATAATTGAATTAATTATTTTGTCATCCGGAATTTTTTAAGTCATCCAGAACTTCAAGCACTGTAAGGGAAACATATTTGGTATACGTTTTGAAGATTGCTTACAATATATTACACTCAATTCTTTCCTGGCATTTTATCATAATGGTTATGCATTTTCTAGTACAGTAAAACCTGTCTAAGTGGAATGCACCAAGTGCCTCAGAACAGTGTTCCACTTAAAGGCCCAGAGATTTGGACCCGGGTGAAGCTATTAATCAAGCTGTCACACTTCAGCCAATCAGTGCTAATGTGGTCAGTTTAAATGTCCAGCATAAACAGAAACACATGGTCTGCTACAAGTGAGATACAGCCTTATGCTATGTTTGTTTACTTCTAGACGGATAAGAGATGCCCATTGGCTGAAATTTAAACTGTCAGTTATGCTAATGAGCATATTTACAAAAAGAAATTGTCTTATTTCACAAAAACTAAACAACATTTTCAGAATTTGATTTGAAATTTATAGTCATTATAGATTCATGAACCACTGTAACAAAAAAGAGCTTGTAACTCATCATAACAATCTTGTTATAGCAGAAAGTTTGAAAATTTTCTCATTTTGTTTGAACTGGACCTTTAAACTGCCATATTTGGCTTTTGTGGGCTGTTCCATCTGCCTTTTATACCCGCTCTCAGTCTTTAATGATATTTGTTCCACTTATATTGAGTTGATGGAAAACAGGACTAATGCCTTAGTCTGTAGCTTCCAAAAATTGAGAGAAATATGCGACATCAAATACTATACTAGTATAGGGATAAGTGGTATGATGTAGATTTTCTATATCAATTTTGTGAAGCTAACAGCCACTGTTCAGCTGCCTTTGAGCAAATGTGACTGAGGCTTAAGTTTTCTACCTTACAAAGTATTCCACTTTACAGGTTTTACTGTATTATTAACACTAGTGTGAATTTAATTATGACATGATTTCTACAGTTATGAATTCCAGGGTAAGTTATTATATACAGCTTACCAACATTAACAAGCATGTAAATAACAAGCAGATAAGAGTTTAATTACAGCTGGTCTCTTTTAACTTCAACATAACATGAATTTACCTAGAGGAGTTTTTAAAAAGTGGACTAGTACTTCTAGTGCAGATCTGAATTTGGGGAGAGGTTCATTGGAGTTTGACGCTTTGTTTCATTAGTCTAGCTACAAGCCCTTGTGAGACTCCCCTCTCCTACTGTAACATTACCTCCCAACAATTGTGAGGTGTGTAGTCAAGTAGAGGGAGGGGGTCATAGGGGCTTGTCGCGAGATTACTGTTTAATATTCAAATTTTCTTAATATGGACCCAAAATATGTCCCTGCCAGTTATGGATTTGAGTTCTGCCTAAGTATTCTACACAAGTTCCAATGTAAAGATTTACAGAATTGGAGTCATTTCCTCAATTAGTTTCAGCTGTTTATAAATGCATCTATGAATGGCACCATGACCTCACAAAAAATCATAATGTTCTAACAGGGCTCTTTATTACTAGAATCTAATTCCGACTAGTACCGATACAGGCTTTGTCATCAAACACAGTCTATACTCAGGGATAGTGTCAAAACATCAACTGTTATAATATTGTTATGGTACAACTCCCATCCCTAGAAAATACTACCTTTTGCCAGGGGAGGTCGGTTCACATTAAACAACTTTGGCCCAAAATCACTTGAAAAGTGCTCAGAATGGTGAAAGACTTCATGACCTTGAAAGAATTTAGAATTTTTGGCCAGGGGGAGAAGGGGGGGGGGTGTTGAAACCCTTGAACCCCCCCCCTATGGACCTTTTAGTAACGGTATGGTTCAACCCCCTCCCTATGTTTATTCACTTAACCTTTCCTGGGTCAAAAATCAATATTCTATCATAACAAAAATCATAATTTTCCCCCTTTCCTTTCAATAAATTGAATTTTGTTCTTCAACATCTGTTGATATTTTGACACCATCCCTGAAATGTGCAAGTTGAATGCAACTACATGTACTAAGCCCAGATTTTCATAATTTCTCACCATAAGCACACAGATTTGATTTCATGACCCTAGAATTAAAGGAGCACACCCAATACATAAGCCAAGTTAATCCTGGTATGTCATTGTATGACAAAAATTTGAGGTTTGGAGTTAAACTTCGAACAGGAAATCACTCTGGGGCAAAACATCTAAAATGGCAGTCGGTAACATCTGGGTCAGGTCGACCTCCTTTAAATAATATTGAATGGAAATCTGTAAAGGCCTTATCTGGCAATTAAGTTCTTTTCATTAAAAATAGTTTGCATCTTGATTACTTACTCTTAAAATTCTTTTTTTTTTGGGGGGGGGTGGAGTAGGAGGAGACTTGAAGAGAGAGGCTCGAGAGTACTTATTTTTCCTTTGAGATAACTACTATATAATGCATACAGTATATATTGATGCGTTCTTCTATTGAGAAATATTGATGTATACTTAACATAAACAAGGAATGTACACAGATTCATTGATCACAACACACGAAGCATATTTATAAGATGAAACTTCTTATTACACCCTCCATCCTATAGACATAAATTCTTCATAAACTCAATTAAGGTAGGTCAAATCAAAGACCTATTTGCTCATTACATTACTTTATGAGCCAGATTTCACATTCTACTAGGCTTACCTTAATTTTGAATTAATGTAAGTTTCAACTATGTACATGTACTACATTGTAGTATAACTCAACCTCAATTACTCATAAAACATGTTAATTTATATGCATTTTTAGGAAAAACTGTGTTTTATTTCATGAATATACTATTTAAGGTAGTCCATTGACAGTAAAATAAAATTATTAATTTGTGACATGTAAAGATCACAAGTTGGATCAATTGTGGATTTGTTGAGTAAATTGAATATGCAACCAAATTAGCATGTTTTACAGTATCGCATTACAAAGTTTTGCAATATATACACCAAGAGCACCCAGTTTGACAATAAAGTATGGCGAAGGTTAAGCAGGCAAGAAAAGCAACACATCAAATGCCACACAAAATTCCATTTGTATACTGTACAGGCATTCAAACATACAGTAAAACCAGTCTAATCCATGCGCCATTTGGGCCATTCTACATTCTTTTTGTATAGTGTTATGAATGGCAGGTTTTTACAATTTCAAGGCATTTGATTTGTGAATAAATGGGAGATTACGAAATTTGGACAAAGAAGTGCTGACCTTGAGAGGTGCTCAAATATACAGGTTTTACTGAATCTTGCTCCATGTTTTGCAAAAAATAGAATCAATTCATTAGATATGAAAAGTATCTTATTAGAATCAGTTAGTATCATAGTATGATATACTAATAGACCCAATCTTAGTCAGTATCTCCCCTAAGTACCTTAATCAAGGTTACCTTGTATATTTCCATTTTACTCATCAATTGTTTTTTTTACCAGTACTTCTTCTAAATCTAGAACTAAGGGACAATTTTCTGTTTTGGCACTGGAACATGTATAATTAGTGCCCTATCAAAGTTTGGCTAATCTCAGACTTGTTCATTCCTATAGTCTTGCTTCAAGACCCTGAATCCCTCTATCTACTTTACAACAATTGTTAAAGTAGATGTGGGGGGGGGGTCAGCAGGCCCGTAGCCAGGATTTGCCAAAGGGGGTTCAGTTTTCAAAAAATTCCAGGGGGGTTCACATTTGACAATTTTGGCCCAAATATGGCTAAAATCAACTGCATGATTTTGAAAGAATTTTTGGCCAGGGGGGGGGGGGGTTCAGACTACGGGCCTGTTCAGGGTCTTGAAGCAAGACTACTGTTCTTTCATAAAGACTACTTACTATTCAACTGAGTGTCAGAATGGCAGGTCTGATAATTGAACATTAATAATTCACTGCAAATATATGTACATATGGCATCTCACAACATTGCTTTTAACAACAACAATCTAGTCTAACAGATCAATCAGATCCTGACTAGTATTAAGTATGTCATACTTTAGTCTAGCTACAAGTCCTTGTGAGCCCCCCTCACTATACACCTCCTCTGTGTGAGAAGGTGAGTAGTCAAGTAATGGGAGGGGGGGGCACAGGGGCTTGTAGCTAGACTTGTTAAACTGTACTTGGTTTTTTCTCTGAAAATATGCAATTCAGAAGAGTCCAGCACACGCTTCCTAAAAGATGGCTTATTTGCAATGGATTCATGGAGATGAATAGAGTCTACAAGGGGCCGTCTCATTTTGAGCCAATTTCTGAAGCTGTGTATATATGACAAAGACGGATTATTTACAGTCTGAGAATGAGTGATGCAGGGGTTTCAGTAACAACATCAGGCAAATGAATGAAAAAAATAAAAAAGGTAAACCAATTTTACCACTGAATTATAAAAATCCTTGGTGAAAACAACTGGGGAGATAGCCTGTTGCCTGGTATGGTGTTAATGAAACCCCCACATGATATTAGGGCCGGGGTGTAAGAGATGTACACCATCTTGCTTGTATCATCTTACTGAACAGGCCTGTCCAAAGGATTTATCAAAGGGGGGTTGGGGACTTTTGAAATGCCCAAAAACTCATCAAAATGATCAATAAAATCCATCTAGGTCCTAATAAATAGTCACAGTGATCATGTTTTCCCGGAATGGGATCAGAGGAAAACCAAGTTATCACTAAGCAGTAGTAAACTCCATACATGATGTTGTCAACTATTCAATCTTGCGAGGAATAATGTAACATAAACAAAAGCATGCCGCGAGACATTCCCCTCGAATAACATCAGTAATTCAAACCGCAATGCTGACATCATAATCCGAAAAGGAAATCATGATGATCTCCCCATTGTGTCATGATATTCAAACATCCACACTCAAGTGTCGTGTTATAAAGCATTGTTAACATAACGGCATAGAGATTCTAAAGAAACATTGTCGGTTATTGCGAATGCCTTATGGCCAAAATTCACTGCAACTGTAACATTGTCCATATCATCGTCCAATAGAAGGATCTCGTTAGATTGTATGATGTTTGTGTGATCCTCGTTATAAAGGTCAGTAAGGACCGAAGCGATGTGTTGTTGTTTCCCGAGAGTTTCAGCGCAACTTTCTCCCTCCCAGTCTTTGCTGCTGGTCTTGATAACAATTCGATTTGTATCGCTGCAAATAAACATGATAGTTTAAAGTACATGCAAGCCCATGATGTAAATAACATGTAAATTAAATAGTCATACGGCTTGTAAATTAATATAATTGTATTCTACTACAGTATTTGGCACATACATGAATCAAGCCTGTAGCAAAGTTTGAACAAAACCCCTGGCCAAAAAGCATAGTTTTCACCATTTTGTGCACTTTTTGAGTGATTTTGGGCAAAAATTGTCAAAATTGACCCCTCTGGAATTTTTTAAAAGTGAACCACCCTTTGTAAAATCAGGCTATTAGGCCTGTATATGACACACAAAGTTTAATTTATAATATGAACAGATTGCAGAGGAAGCTCTCTTTTAAGAAGTGAAGTTGAATGAATGCAAACGGTAAACCTTGCATTAACTTCACACTGAAACTCTCATTTAAGGCCTTAAACTCTACTTTTGTTATTTGAATCAGCTCTTATCAGTGTCATAACTCTACTTATTTCTCCTATTCTAATGTACGAAGCTTAGCTTAGTCTAGCTACAAAACCAGCATACTGTGTGAGAAGGGGTTACCTTAAGTAAACTCTCATTAAGGCCTTAAAGGAATATTCCTTGCCAGACCCTTTCTCTCTTGATATGGTAACTATAATCATACATATAGTTTCCATATTTAGCAAAACATGGGAAAATGTTTTAATATGGTCAATATTGATCAATTAAAAATCTAGTGCTTATTTCCAGTGAGCTGCCATCTTTTAAGATTTCTTGCAGGAAGTGATGTCATCAACTCTCAACTTCTATAACCTTGCCCATAACAGTATAGGAAAGTAGCACAAAATCACTTCTAGACAAGTGATCATTACTTTCTGTGCAAAAATATTTTCAGGGCTTGTGAACTTAGAATAAAAGAAGAGATTTTCAGAAGGATTAAATAAGATACAAAATTGAAAAAGAATATTTAGCTGGTTTTGTAATTCTTAATAGCTCCTCACCTAATGCTATATGCAAAGTTGAGAGTCGATGACATCACTTCCTGTGTGAAATTTTAAAAGATGGCAGCTTACTGGAATTGAGCATCACATTTCTAAGTGATCAAATTTGACCAGATCAAAACATTTTTGCGTGTTTTGCTAAACATGGCAAGCATATATATGGTTATAGCTACCATATGAGGAGAGAGATGGTTTGGCAAGGAATATTCCTTTAAACTCTACTTTTGTTATTTGAATCAGCTCTTACCAGTGTCATAACTCTACTTATTTCTCCTATTCTAATGTACGAAGCTTAGCTTAGTCTAGCTACAAAACCAGCATACTGTGTGAGAAGGGGTTACCTCAAGTAGAGGAGGGTCAAAGAGAGGCTTGTAGCTAGACATTTAGGGTACTAGCTTTGATTCAATGCAAATGAATGGTAATATCCATTAATTTGCATACTGTAGTTACGTACATACTTTAGGTTTTTAAACTTAGTTTGCACTATTTATATACAAAACAAAATGAATCATATATCAGTCAACGACTGTTAAACACAGTTATTCAAATTATATGTTAGATAAAAAATAATGACAGGTATCTTATCCATTGAGGACTGTCACAACTTATAAGTGTAATATAAGATGTAATCAAACATAACCTCTGAAATAAAGTGTGCATTATATGAATCAAGTTGATTTACAAGTTGTTTCAACTTCACTTTAATATCTCAATTATATTTGATTGGTAAATGGTATACCCCCAATCTGAACTCTGAAATAGTGAAATTATTTCAGAGTACACGTCAGTATAATTCAAGTATGGTGCAGAATGGTGTTCATGGTACTGTACACTAAAGTGCTGTTTTAATCTACGGTACCGCACTGTACCATATTTTACAGTTCTGTACTGTTAGAGATTGACATGTATTTAGAGGTCCAAACAAAACAAAATGCTTTAATAATGACACTCTCAAAGCAAAAGATATAACAAACATCAAATCAATGGCTCCTTTCAACAGTAACCCCATTAAAATGACCTTTATCAAATGTAAATGCCAATAACACACATTTTCGAAACTTCTTCTGATTGGTTTCCAAACAATCTTTCTACACAGCCAATATAATTCGTCGATTCGGCGCTGTTTCGACGCCGAATTATGTTGGTGTCGAATCGACTCTGAATTTCGATGTTGTTTCGACGTCGAATGTTTCTGCTCATTTATCGCTGAAACGACGTTGAAAATCGACGATTTTTCAACGTTGAATTGGTGCCGAAACGACGCCGAAATAGAGGTTGCAGATTGCAGGTGTAAGAAAGACACCACACATTGAAAAGTGAGAAAAATAAAAATGTAATATCCAAATGTGGGAGTTTCACTAGAAAATAAATGAAAACAACAGGCAAAATTAATGGATATCATAAATTTAACATGGAAAAGTTGAAAAGTCCCTAAAAACAATGCGCGATTTTGTGAAAACAACTGGTGAAAATCGCCTGTTGCCTGCTGCTAATGAAACCCCTGCATATGGTATAGAACATTCAAAACCCAGGATGTATTAATTAGGAAATGGTCATCCAAGTTAACTGTGCCCTGGGATTGTGTCTATTACTCTGACAATAACAAGATGAATTCTCTGTTTGATTATCATACCAGAACAATGTATTGACAGTCAAAATAGTATCTTCAAAATCAGAGACATATACGTAGTCTTTGTCAAAATGTAACATATTCAACCAGATGAAATAAGATAAGAAAAACCATTGATTCAAAAGTCAGGGTGAATATTGATTACTGGTTAAAGATTTGGAGTAAATCATAATTTGATGAAGCATTAAGGAAGCACAATTCTGTCTGAATGTGAACCATAGATAGACATGACACATAATCGTAAAAGAAATTCGTATTAGGCCTAGACTTCCTTGTTCATAAGAATCTGAGCTAACACCATTTCCTATTCCTCAACTTTGTGGCATTATATTGCAGATTACAAGAGGTAACACAGGGGTTAACATTAATAATTAATTTTTGGTAAAGGCCTTTCACAAGCCAATATTTTTATGCCAATCTGCCTTACACACATACGTCGAAATTTTAAGTAATTTGGGATCGATTAGTTTATACTTTTTTTTTTTTTTTTTTTTAGGTTATTGTTATTTATTTCTATAATATTCAACATAATTATTTACATAGATTGTGAGGGGCCGAGGCTACATAGCATTATTGGCCCCCCTCTAGAAAGTTAAAAACATATAATAAATCACTGGAGTGTGTAGGATTGCAACGGACAGACGGTCGTCCACCAGGTCTTGCCCATGATGATGTATATGAGTGTTAATGAGAGATGATGTGAAATGAGGAGGATGGTCATTCTAAGATGTTATCGATATAATTTGAAGATAGTTGAAGGCATTTTGTATTCAGTTCACTATTTAAATTTTCATAGTTTATACTGTAGCAATAAGTCAGGTGTATAGTAATACTATACACATTCTGCACATACTGTAGTAGGGTACTTTAAGGTTGTGATTAAAAATTCTACGAGTGTGCATTTCTATAGCTTAGTTTGATGACACATGTGTAACTGTCTGCTATCACAAAAAACAGGAAGTCAAACTTACCAATCTTTCAGAGCAGAATTGAGCACATCACTTATAAGCCCGGACTGCATGGAATAAGTCACTACAGCCACTCGGAGTCCTGCCTCCATTAGCTTTGGGATAAGGTGTCTAAAGCAAGGCCTAACGTGTGAGGTTAATTTTACAGATCCTTGTTTCCAACAACCCGAGGTATGAACAGACACGATGGTCTGGTCAAAATCCAAAGCAACAACTTTGATACCTTTTTTCACAAGTTTATTTGCGATGTCCAGTGCAATATCTGCATCTGATTTTGGTACAGACCCCGACCCCGACATGTTATCCTCCACTAGGCCTCAGTAATAAGCCACTTACTCCGAATCTTTGTGCGAATATTTAGTATTTATCATAAATTATAACATTTGCGAAACACTTGTTTTTTCAGCCTCGTTTTAGTTCGGCCAATCAAATTGTAGCTTCGAACGTAGCGAGCAGCAGTTTATGAAATTGGGAGAACAAAAATTGTGCAATAAATCTCTTATATAACAGTAAGTAGATGTTTTTATTCATTTTTGACATTCATATATCATAGACCACTAATTGGTACATCATTATAACAGAAAAATGTAAACATAGCACATTGATTTGAATTAAAATGTTGCATTTCTATCCAGCACGTTTCATAAAATTCGATCCAATTTTCCATTCTTCACTCACTTTTTCGAACTCCTATGCAGTGTCTCGGTATAGACACTGCGGCGGGCAGATGAAGCAAATCCCCAAAAATTGGGGAAAATAGTTCCCCTTTTCATCACATATGTGGTCAATTTTCACACAACTTATAAAATATGTATTGATGAATGTTCCCCAAACATTATTTTGTCAAAATATTCCAAAATTATTGAAATATGAGAAGAAATCACCGCGGAAGGAATTCTGAGTAAAAGTTGTGTTGATAATAGTTTACCGCACGTGTTGTTTATTAGTTAATACGCGCAATTCAACCAATGAAATTGTCTAAATTTTACAATCACGCGACCTGAGCATGGGACTAGAACCAATCATGTCAGTTGTTTATTACAATGTTACCATGCTTACGGGGAGATACCTGCCCGCCGCAGTGATATTATCACTGCACGGGAGTTCGTCACTTTTTATTTGACTCAAACTTGATTATCAGATCTGAAGACAAACATTTAAACTAGGCATTTAGATATGGACTTATTCAATATTATTAGATAGAAACTTTGTTTAGACTTTTAGAGCTACATACTATTCCCTGGGAATTTAGTATAGATCTACTGAGAGACTGGTTTCATTCTGCAAATCGTCATCATTATGCAGCACCATGGCACAATATTATGTGGAGAAATACATACAGAATTCAGAATGGCTGTATATGTTGGATTGTTTGTGGCTTGGATAATTAATGTGTGGACTATGTGTTTTTATACCAGCAATAGTTTGTGATCAATCTGTGATTTATAAATATTGTGCAGTGCAGAAAGCTTACAGGTTTATTTAGATTCATTTGTTTATATTCTTCTGAGGTATTCTACACTTTTCGTCATTCCCATTCAGTACTGCAGTAACATACATGAAAAATATCCTAGGCTTCACCTGGAATCCATGGAGATCAAGTGGTCTAGTACATCAACTAAATATTGAAGACATCCTTGCTAAATCTAGTCTTGATAATAATTGGATAAACTTCAATAGATCAATGCATGTATCCGTGAACTTGAAGTGAAAGACTGTCCCTGGATGAAAAGAAGAAAGGCTATATTGCAAGTTTATCTCAGAAAATGTGAATAAAAAAAATTGTTGTATTGACTCTTTGGAAGCTCCATCATGCATTTAATTTTGTCTGGCATTCTCTAAACTGCTATAAGTATGCTTATTGACTCATGGCATGTATATAGTACTGTATCTGAATTTCTCATTTTAGGTGTATATAGATGAGAAGTCAAAAGCGCTTGTAAGCACAATGCACCCTCAGGGTTTCCAAGGTCGGGGCATCCCTATGACCCGCCCAATGGTCCAGGGTATGGCTACACAAGGAGGAGGTGTGATGCCTAGCTTGTTGGGTCCAATACCTGCTGGGATGGGAGGGGTTCAGGGAGTGCAGCCGATGATGCCTGGGATGCCCATGAGTATGCCAGGTGGAATGCCAGGTGCTATGCCTGGAGGTATGCCAAGTAGTATGATGGGAGGAATGCGACCCATGCCATTGATGATGATGGGACAACCCCAACTGATGCCTTTACGCCCTGGTATGCCTGGGATGGCTGGAGGACTCATGCCTGGACAGATGCAACAATTTGAAGGTCTAGAGCAACAGGATGAAGATAAAGAAAAGGTTAGAATGCAGATAATAGCAACTTGGAAATTCATATATATAATCTTTTTCAAGTAAAAACAGAAGTGTGTTCCTAAAGTCAGCTATAAAATATTATGGGGCACAAAATTAGTTTCAATTTTATAGAAAATGTGTTAACTCTACTGTTGACTTTTCTTCACAGGTCATGGTGTCCTAGATGCATTTGCCTTCATTTTCCAGTGAATCTTTGGCAATTTCTCAATGCTCTTGTTATTATCCAACAGAAATTTGTTCAGAAGGGATATAGCAAAGCCACCGCTCCTTCAATTCATTCATCTTTCCAAGCAATAACTCAAATACCAGTTGACAGATTTGATTCACATTTCATATGGCATATCATATACACCCAATAGGTAGATTTGTTTAATATAACCTGTATCTGCTTTTCAGGATGATACAAAACAAAATGAAGACCAGGAACAATCTGAGCAAGATCTAGATGGATCATCATCCAGTCAACAGCTACAGAAGATGCATACTCCATCTACTCAGTTACCAGGAATGCCAACTCCTCAATTAGGCTTGACCAGTCAGCCTTCTCCAATGCCAGGACAACAATCTGGTTTAATAAGTCCCCATCTCGGCTTAGCTGGCCAGTCATTGGGCCTACCCAGCCAGCAGCTAGGTCTCCCTGGTCAACTAGGTTTACCTGGCCAACAACTAGGCCTTCCTGGTCAGCAACTAGGCCTTCCTGGTCAACAACTAGGCCTTCCTGGTCAACAACTAGGCCTTCCTGGCCAACAACTAGGCCTTCCTGGTCAACCTTTAGGGCTACCTGGTCAGCAGCTGGGATTACCAGGGCTAGCAGGCCAGCAGCTTGGCTTACAAGGGCCTTTAGGTTTACAAAGCCAGCTAGCCAATGCACAGTTAGGATTAGCTGGTCAGCAGTTAGGGCCAGGGGGACAACCAGTTGGTCTTTCAAGTCAAGGATTAGGATTCCCTGGAGCACAACAGTTGGGAATCACAAGTTCAGCAGGTCAGTCAGTCTCTAGTTCACAATTAGGAGCCTCAGGACTATCTACATCCATTAGCAGCCAGAGTTCTTTATCTCAGTCAATGGCAGGTGGAGCTCAACCTGGGGGGCTTACAAGTCAAGCTGGCCTCACAGCAGGTGGACAGTTTGGCCTCACAAGTCAACCACTAGGCCCTGGTGGACAACCTTTAAGTTTAACAAGTCAAGCTGCACTTATGGGAGGTTCACCTTATCCTATTGCCAGTCAGCAGTTAGCTGCCTTACAAGGCCAACCGTTTGGTCTCCCAGGTCAACAGCTGGGGCCAAGAATGCCTGGACAGCAACTAGGTCAGCTAGGTGGTGTACCAGGTCAACAATTCGGCCAAGGGGGGCAAGCATTAGGTCTTGGAGGTATGGGAGCTCAACAGTTATTAACAAGTGCTGGGCAGCAGGCATTTAGTGGTCTTGCTGGCCAGCAGTTATTTACTAGCGGGGGCCAGCCATTGGGTCTTGCGGGGGCTCAGCTTGGGCTTCAGCAGCAGCTTTTACAGCATCAGATGTTAACTGGGCAGAGGTTACAACAGCCACAGATGCAGGCCTGGTTGGCAGCACAGGGCCAGGAGCTGGAGGGGATGGGGCTTGGACAGACTCAAGACCAGCAACAGGAAGACCTGAACCCAGAAGATTATGACTATGGGTAAGAATATGTATAAAAAGCCATGCTGATTACAATAATGTGCTTTTGAGATTTAGTTTTAAACACTGAAATAATTCAATCTTAAACACAAGAACATATTATTATTGAGAAATGATTTTATCGTTTCATGGAGTAAATTAGTTTTGCATAGTACAAAGCAGTTGGGACTGAAAGTAAAGGGGCCTAGGGGGGAGGTCTCGGTAGTGCTTTGTCCATCATTTACGTGATGCTATATTCACTATTAATTCATTTCTTTATCTAATATGACTTCTCGGTGTAAAGGGCCATGTCATAGAGAAAACTCACATGTTATTTTTGTGAAACTAATTATCCATGATAAAAATAATGATTATTGGTCAAGCAGACGTGAGATAGAGGGTCTGCCTGAGCCTTTGTTAAATTAGTTTAGCAACATTTTAACCTTGACTTATGAGAAATAATATTTATCAACTTGTACTTTGTACACTTCAGCCAAGGTAGCCAGGAAGAACCAGTCGACCCTGCCAAGTACAGATCCACTTTGGATGACTTCAACTCTGACCTTAATCTCCTTATAGATGATGATGGGTATGTGCTATCTATGCCTAGATATGTTGAGGGTATTTTTGGCAGGCAATTTTCTCCAGTTTTTTCAATTTCACTGAAGAACTCTCTAGAAAACATGAAAAAACTATTACTGTTTAGGTTTTTCTCCTATTATGGCTCTGATTAAGTTGAATAAGTAGAAGTGAAAACTGTGTTTTATAGTTTATTCAGATTTTCATTACTACAATAACATGTGCAATGGGACATATTTTTTATTCAATTTCAGCTTAAGTGCTGAACCACTGACAAAGCCCGATGGATTCTGTTTCTGTTGGGCAGGGGCTCGTGGCACATTTGGGGTTACTCGAGGCAAGGTTTGCTTCGAAATGACAATTACGGAGCATTTGCCAACAGATTTTGGAGACGACCATAAAGAGACTGATCCTCATGTTGTCCGAGTTGGATGGTCCACAGATTCATCATCATTTCAACTAGGTTAGTTCACGTGTAAGCCAAGTGATCTCTCGAGCATTACGCCAAACTGTTGAAAATTGGTTTACACCATGCTTATTAAGTGATGAAATATTGACATATTTTGACCAAAATTAGGATTTAACACCCAGGACTTAACAACCAGGGGAGATCATCATAGACTGTTCACATGTGTATGAAGAAATCTAAGCTAAGATTTGTTTTTGATATTTCTCTGTTTTATCACCTCAGAATATGAATAAAAGTTTCAGTTGAGATATATGTCTTAGAACCCTATGTTTAACCCTAGGTATCAAGTAAGGTAAAACTCTGTACCCATACAGATTGCATTGTGGTAATATACCCACCGAATTACATTGTGGGTAATATATTGAAGAGCTCTATTGTGGAAAGAAGAATCGAAAACAATTACATTTGATAATTTTTTACAATAGTTTATTACATGTACTTTATTTACATTTCCAAACAGGTGAGGATCCAGAATCTTATGGCTACGGGGGCACTTCGAGATTCTCCGATAATAACAAGTTCAGACTTTATGGGCAGTCATTTAGTATTGGTGATACCATTACAGCCTGTGTGGACTTCATGGCGCGACCTCCCTGTATATTGTACTGTAAAAATGGCCGAAATCTTGGCAAGGCAACTACATTGTATACCTTCCCAGTAGGTGATAAAGAAAAGGCATTATTTCCACATGTGCTTAGTAAGAACTGCAGGTAAGTGTTCATTACTGATTTGTGTAAATATTTACTCATGGCAATATATGTATATGGACAACTTCATTACTCTTATTACTGTATATAATTTGTTTTAAATATTTTGCAGATTTGAAGTCAACTTTGGACAACGAGCACCAAGGTATGCAGCGCCCCCTGGCTTCATGTTCATCGACCACATCCCCACAGTGGACAAAGTCCGAGGCATGGTTGCACCTGGGAAGAAATCAGACTGTGAAGTAAGAAATAACCTTTCTCATTTTAACTAGAAATTTAACTTATGAGCTAGAAAGTTCCTAAATAAACTTCTGCTTATAAGTTAGTAGCTGGCAAATTCATTTCACATCAAAACTCTTTTAAGGGCCACAAAACCGACAATAGGTTTAGTCCATGAAAATGGTGACTATTTACAATTTTTCCTCCTCTAAAACTTACTACCTGTAATGACATTTTTATGTCACCACCACAACTATGATCCACCTTTTTTGTGACGGTGTCTGGCAGTCAGTTCAGCTTTTGGCATCTGTAACAAATGGTGGTGAAATTTTGCATGTTAATACATTGTTACATTTTGTGAATTGATTATTCAATTTAAATTGAATTAAAAAATTGCTAATTTTTTGTTTACAGATCATTATGATATGTGGCCTCCCAGGGGCAGGGAAGACAACTTGGGGGATGAAGATGCAGAAGGATCACCCTGAGAAACGTTACAACATAATCGGGACAGACACCCTCATTGATAAAATGAAAGTGATGGGTCTCCCACGTAAGAACAATTACCATGGCCGTTGGGATAAACTGATTTCCAAGGCAACATACTGTCTCAATAAACTGTTTGAAATAGGTAAGGAAAATGTATTAATAATAAACATGTTTTTTTTTTGTTTTTTTTTGATTAATTTATTAACATTGAAATATTTATACATTTATACAATTTTTACATAATATACAATGGTTACATTGGTACTAATACAGGTATACAGAACTTATTGGTTATAGATTTTACTATTTCTTATTTTCCAAATTTCAAACTTGTGTTTAAACACGAGCTGGTTTCTATGGCATTTGCTCTCAAAATCTCCTTCATTGTTATATCATATTCCAAAACAACAAGCAGAAAAAGAGTAATTCATAGTGAAAACATACTATTGCTGTGTTCTGATTGAAATAATAATGGGGATTTTTATAAAGATACTCTGTACTTAAGTATACATATATGCATGCATGCATTTGTTCCCCCTCCTCAAGACATTTTGTTTTCTATTTGGGTTGATCAAGAAAAATGTGAGGAGGATGTAAATACACTGAATTTATTACTGAGATATTACTATGGTATTTATTTCCATACTTTGAAAATAAAATGTTCAGAGATTTTTAAGATTTTTATGTCACCACAAGTGGTGACATAATGTTATTGTCTCCCATTTTTATGGACGTTGTTCGGCATCTGTAGCAAATGGCAGGTAATGACATTTTACATGTTAATGCCTTGTTATTTCCTGTATAACCAAAGAGATTACTATTTGGTTGAGTGTTATGTTTTACATTAATATGCATCTGTATTTCAACAGGGAGCAAAAGAAACAGGAACTATATTCTAGATCAGACGAATGTATATGCCTCTGCACGGCGACGCAAGATGCGTTATTTCCGTGGATTCAGGCGAAAGGTGGCGCTACTGGTCACAAGTGATGAGGAGTTAGAAAGACGATCATATAAACGCACACATGAAGATGGTATGTACAATTACAATTTATATTCCCTCAAATGAGCTAAAAGAATGGTATATAAAATGTGCTGAGGGTGCATTCATGTTGGATAAGCATTGTAATATTTTCATTTCAAAAGACCTTTTGGACATCCTGTGGTAGATTGTGATATCATTGTTATCCAGTTGTATATATTACACCCTTGAATGGAACAATACCCTCAAAAATCATGCATAGGATATACTTTAAATCAATGTCTATAATTGTTATGTAAATAAACATTTGTAATAGTAATACTAAACTTAAATATGTTACTGTAATTTTAGGCAAGGTTGTTCCAGAAACCGCAGTGCTTGAAATGAAGGCCAACTTCTCACTTCCTGTAGTTGACGACAACTGTGATGAGATCATGTATATTGACTTCAAGCAAGACCAAGCTCAGAAAATCATTAAATCGTGAGTTTTCTTAAGTTTCACTATACTAATATTTCAAATAGTCAAATTATAGCTAATTCAAACGCAGAAATGGTTGCCACAGTACCCTACTTACCTTGTTGGTATGGTAACATAGAAAACAATGTATAAAATCCTGTACTTTATTTTATTTTTTTTTATTTTATTTATTTATTATCATATTCATTTAGTATTACATAAACAGTGTTGGCACTTGATACCCATAAAAGGGCATATCAGTGCTAAAATCAAAAGTTGAACATTATAAAAATATATTACAAATTATATGAATTGAATGAAGCAAGAAATACAATTATAGATATCATGCCAGTTCATGTTATAAAATTCGACAATGTACAAAATACAAAAATGCCTGCACATAAACAATTCAAAAGTGAAAAATACAAACATAATACAATTGTGGAAGAATATATAACAGTACACGCTCATGGCCAGTAACAACTCAGTAACAATTTATTAATGTTTTTTTGTAATTGTATTTAAAGGAGTAAAATGATGGAAGAGATTGAAGGGATGTTGGTAAATTGTTCCATATTATTGTTCCAGAGTATTGAATATTTACAATGGATCATAAACAGTGTGCGAAGTAGCACTTTTCCAGAAGCCTTTAGGTTGTAAATAACATGACAATTGGTTTAGCATTTAGTTTTGACCAGTATACCTGATGTCCATATGAACCTGTTAACAAATCAGCATTTAGAAAATATTTTGAAAATACATGTCATGGCTTTGTTGTTATTCTCTACTTCAGGTATAACGAGGAAGGCAAGAGGAAGAGACCATCAAGGGAAGAAGCATTCCCCAATGATTTCAGAGGACAGGTACACTTTTGATATCATTTTTATCCAATGATCATGGTGAATTTTTACGAAGGCCTCCCACGAAGTAGGCGGTACCCTTTGTTCTATGGACCGGGCTAGGCACGTGCCCTAAGTTCCGCATTTATTATCTTATATATCATCAAGTCGTTGTCAAGTCGCCAAATGATGTGATTGTGATTCGAGATATGACGTAACACATAAACTATGACGCCAGTCACATATTTACTCCATCCAGCAACTATAAACAAACAAATAATCGTAACGTCATTAACATATTACCTACCCAACAACAAAACAAGCATTTACTTTGTTCATTGCTGCTCTCCATGATCTTTTCATAAGAAGTAGATCAGTTTTATCCATTAGCATAATGGCCCCACATTTGGCCTTTGTATTTTTCTGAATAATCTTGTTAGCGATCTCATTGGCCCATGTCTTATCCCATGGTTGCAAGGATCTTAAAAAGTGATATTCGATTGTTTCAAAAGTGATATTCAATGGTTTCTTTTTTTTATTTATTAATTCTGCTCATGAATTTATTAATTCTGCCCATAGATATCAATATCTTCACCCATTCACTGCACTCACTTCACTTGTGAAGATATCAATATCAATATCCATGGAAATAAATGATACTTTTTTCAAAACCATAGGATATTCCTATAATATCCTGTAAATGAACAACAACACATCACTTGCTTTAAAGATATCTAAAACATTTTTCATATATGAAATGTTATGCTATTGATGTGTATCCCATGGTTACAAGGATATACATCGAATATTATGTGAAGATATATTTGATTCTTAAAAAGTGATATTCGCTAGTTTCAAAAGTGATATTCGATGGTTTCATAAGTGATATTCGATAATTTTGAGATAAACGGACAATCCTGCGCTCACTCGTCATGAAGCTATTAATATCCACTCATGGATATAAATGATATATAAATGATGGCTCAAAACCATCAGATATTCCTATAATGTTAAACAGCACAACCTGTGTAATAAAAAATTGTTTTGTCATTTTTTGGATTGTTGTAGTTGTCACAAATTAGGAAGCTTAGGATAATACATTGTGGATGAAAATATCAACATCACAAACTATACCACAATGTATCAACCAATTTAACATTTTCACTTTCAGGCCAGGGATGGTAGTCATAAACGTCCTTACGATGCGAGAGATCGTGAATCACAGGGGGGTGGCAATAGATGGCAGCAAGGTGGCTACCCTGATAAACGTGTCAAGGGTGGCGAACCTCATACTAGTGGTCTAGGGCTCCTTCAGCAATACTCGGAGCCTAGTGCCACCACAAGCGTCAAACAAGAGCAGTCAATCAAACAAGAAGTTACTTCTGATTATGGTGAGATTATTTTTCTTTTATATACTGTACTAGTATGATCGAAAAAAGTGTCTCCCATTAATTGATTACTCTAAAGCTCCAATCAATAATCAGATAATGGTTTCAGCAAAAATATAACAATAAGAAAATCTAAATATAATTAATATAAAATCAAATTAATATAAATCAAATGATTTCAACAGCATGGCTTCTGTTAGCAACCTGTAACATAAAAGTAACTAATAAACTTTAAATTGACTTTTCCATGTTTAAAAGTTAAGAAAAATTGTAAAAGGTCACAACTGTGTTGTTCCTGGAAAGTTTTTGGATTGATCACTTTTCCTTATTCTCAGAGTATAAAAATCTTATTATTATCGTACCTTCAGGTTCATATGGAGGGGGTTCCAGTCGTAGCAGCAGCGTGGACCAATGGGGAAGCTCCAGTCAGGCAGATAGTCAATATTCTGATCAGCGACAAGTAGGCTATGGTGGCCAATCAGGGACTGGCTATTATGGTAATTTCAATGAAAGTAGTTCCGGCACTGACAGGAAACCTAAACAGGAGAGAGACGGTTACTCCGGGTATGGCGGTGAATCTAAGGGACGAGATGACACTAGTTTTAATCGTGATCAGGATTATAACCGCAGCCGTGATAGAGGTGGAAGTTATGACAGGAGTCGTGATGACCGCCAGGGTCGTGATTATAACCGTGATAAGAGGAGCTCTGGAAGCAGTGACCGAAGTGGGGATTATAACCGTGGGGGTAGCAGCTATAACAGGGATGATAGATCCAGGTCTGGAAGTAGCTCAAGGGACTCATATAACAGAGGATCAGAGTATAATCGGCAGGGAGATAGATCTGGTAGTGGAAGTGGTGATTACGATAAATCTGATAGTAGATCAGGATATGATAAATCCAACAGGGACTATGAGAAAACAGACTCTAGTCTAGCCAGCTATGAGAATCGTGGAACCAGGGGCAGTAATTCCGATGAACGTTATGGAAAATGGCAGTCGGCTACAACATCCCCAGATGTAAAAAAAAGAAAATCACGTTGGGGAGAAAGTGACGCAGCCGAAATGAAATCTGAGCCCAGTGATTGGTCATCTGCCGCTAGTGCTGGAGACAGCGCCACTTATGGTGAAAAACCAGCCACCTCATTAGCTACACAAGCCCCAGCCCCCGCAGATGCTGGTTTATTAGGGGAGTACCCTGGCCTGCCCTCAGGTCTCCCCCCTCCCCCTCCTCCCCCAGAAATGAACACTGTTAAGGTGGAGCCACCAGTGCAACCGCCCAGCTCAGCAGGATTTCCTCCATCCCAGAATCCCTTCATGGCTGCAGTAGAGGCCCCTATGCCTCCCCGTGGCCCTAGACCTCCAATGGGCCCCATGGGTCCCATGATGGGGAGACTCCCTATGGGTGGGCCTAGACCAGGCATGGGCCCTAGACCGGGAATGTTCCCTGGAGGACCTGGGATGTTCCCTAGGCCAGGCATGCCTGGGTTTAGACCCCCAATGAGCCAAGGTTTCCCAATGAGGCCTGGTTGGAGGCCCCAGCGTTTCTAAAATCATCCACTTGATATACACACCTATAGCTGTAAGAGAGGAGACTTGAGTAAAATAGCTGTCACATGAGCTGTGTGAGTTCACAGTTCACCACCATGTGGCTAATTTTGGGCATTTTATGAATTCATTAATTAACTTTTGTATTTTGTGGGATGGGGGATACTATTATCTTTCTGTAAAACCATTTGTTTTGCTTACCTTGAATCAATTTAGTGCCCCGCCATCTGCCCCAAAGTACTCACTCGGTAGTGAACGCTGAGCCCACATAGACTTAGTGTGACAGCTCTATAAGTCTGAGTCAGTAAATAAAATGCACAGCCTTTGTATGTAAAATTGAGAAATGCCTCACATTAAGGCAGGTCTCCATGTATTTATAGTAGGCCCAGCCTTTCCTCCAAAATGATACATATTCTTGACTCTGCATGTGGACTTAATAATCATGAAATCAATTTATTCAAAAAGGTTTGACATCTGAGAAAACCGGGCACGATTTGAATATTATTAATAAGTTATTCTGTGAAACCATTTAATAGTATAAGAGATTGAATAAGTGAATGACAAAATGATTGTTTCTCCAAAGTTTTTATTACTAGTATTATAAACTTTTCTCAGAATGAGGTATTTGATAGTTGCAATTCTCAAATGCTGATAATGTGTGAACAATTTGTAAATACTACCTGAATCATATTGAATGAGGGTAAAATAATTTTTTAGTTCAGCGTGTTTTCACTTTGTGTAGCTTGTAATATAGGAACCAATCACTTGCATGTGTATCTTTATGAAGAGTTCTAAACCAGTTAATCAATCAAAACATGCCATACAGGCCCTATGCAGTTTTATAGTTGTTTGGCCCTAATATTTCATTACGACCAAGAAATTAGAATAAAAATCATGAAGTAAGGATATGTTTATTTAATGTAAATCTAAGAAATATGAGATGTATTAGCTATTATTATCAATGAACATCACCCACAAAAACATTGGAGACTGTATCGACATGTCGCAACTTTTGGCATGACTTAAAAAACAAATAGTGAATCCACAACAGCAATGTTCAGTGTGTGATGTATTATAAAGAGGGGGGAGGGGGGGGGTCATTTGTGGGGAGGGGATCCAGGAAAAATACCTTGCAGTTAAATTGCACAGTAGATAGATAGGGATTTTGCTTCACATTCATATTTCAGGGCAATGTGCCATTGTAAGTTTATTTATTCTGTGTATATTTTAAGACTGTATAAAACTAGAATATGTAATAGCTTAAATGTTATATTGTTGAGTTACTCAGGCTCCGTTTAAAAAAGGGCAAAATAAGTGACATATTTGCCAATTTTGTGTATCTTAGCATGAGCAATGCAATAACAATATCAAAATATACAGGAAGTGATCTATATGTTCTGAGTCACACTTTGTATGTTTGGATTCATGATAATGAATAATATTCATCATGCATTTTGTAAATAGCATGTTAATATAATATGTTCATATTGTAAATGGCATGTTAATATAATATGTTCCTATTGTAAATAACATGTTAATATAATAAGTTCATATTGTAAATAGCATGTTAATATAATACGTTCATATTGTAAATAACATGTTAATATAATACAATATTGGAAATAGCATGTTAATATAATAAGTACATATTATTCTGAATTTACAAAGAAATAAAGTACATATTATTTATTCCGTTCATATGATGCCTATTATATTCATTATCAGAGACGTGTCCATATGAAAGGATTGGTATCGATATGGTGAGTTCAACAATGTTTTTCTCTTAAACCAATTATTGAAAACATTCTGTGAAAAACAAGGTCATTTATGTAATGTTGGCTGATTGACAACAATTTAATGCGAAAATTATTTTTATATACTTTTTTATTTAACTGTTTACTTTGTATGTTAACTTTTTGGGGTTTTTAGTGCAATTGTATTTTGTTCCTTTCTACCAATTGTCGAGAACGAAATAAAATATCTTTCCAAACCTCATTTTCTTAGACCTCTCTGTATTATAGTTATACAAAGGAAAGTTTGGTTGATTTAACAAAAAGAATTCAAAAAATTAAAACAAAAAACCCCTAAATAGATAAAAAATATTACAATATTGAGAGACCTAAACGAGTTGTGCTTATGTCATTTTGTTTCAATGAGGTTCAGATAGATGTTTCATTTCATTCTGAACATATGATACCAAGAACAAAAGAAGAATCTGATGTGTTTTCTAAGACAATATAGAGATAATTCAAATTATATTGTTACCATTCAAAAGATGACCATTTAATTGACGATGTGTAAATTTTTCAACATTTTTTGATGATTGGTTTAAGAGAAATGTGTGTTCAAAAAGTTCACCATATCGATACCACTCCTTTGCAATACATTATACAATTTGATACTTTTACATGAAACTTGTGTAAACTTTCATTTTAACTTTTAGTCTTGACTTCATATTGTTGTCATTGAATCAAGGTGAACTTGCTATCCCTTATTACCAAACTTAATGTATAATTGTGCATGTCTATACATCAACTGCAAAATGTGTGTCATACCCTGGATTTCAAATATCCCACCGTTTGTTAGACTTTAAACCCATAACATACTGTTAAGCATCTCCTTAGATTGAGTTTATTGTAATACAATAGAAAGGGGGGGGGGGGGGCGTGTTGGTGAACTGGTCAATATTCTAAACACAAAATTTTCATAATGTCTACAGTTTATTTTCATCTTCTCTCTTAATGAACTTAAGCTAATGTTAAAAAATGAAGTTGACCAATAAATTACTTATATGATTACTGTATCATTGTGTTGTTTTCTGGCAGTAAAGCAGTCCAATACAATTGCACATTTTAGACCCTGAAGTCATTCAGATTTTATGTGCACATGGTCTCGATGCAACCATTTGTCTTGAATTAAACCATATCGATACCTATCCTTTTGACATTTTTCATAAATCTCATCAAAACTCCTGGAAAACTGTTCAATTTGAAAATCTTACAGATGCAGGAGCAGATTGGCACCAAAACGTGATTAGACTCTGAGAACACTGGGTAAATTATTTAGTGGTTATTTTACCCAGCATGCCATAAACCTAATCAAATCTTGGAACTCCTCCACTCTTGCATCTGTAACTTTTTCATAAATCCTGTCAACAAAATTCCGTTTAATTTGAAATTTTTACAGATGCAAAAGTAGACGAGTGCCAAGATTTGATTAGATTTTGGGCACGATATTGGGTAAATTGCATCCAAATTCAAAGTGCGATATTTATAACATGTCTTGTTTTCACTTGTACTCATATCAAGGACTTTTGTAAACATCATGTTTGGTCTAATAAAGAGCAATAAATTGCTTCACTATCACTGTGTTGTGTTTTCCGGCTGTATAGCAATCCAATATAATTGCAGATTTTCGGCTTTTACGTGAGCATAATGAATATCCCGACGTATCTAGTTGTCTTGAATCAAATCCCTGAAAAATTCAATCATTATCATAAAATAAGGTCAGCACTGACAAAAATGTGATAATGATAGGCACGACATGGAACAGTGCTACTTGTCAACAAAACAAATAGGTGCATTCATGCACCCTCTGGGTCTCTGAGGATCGTGTTGGCCCCAATGCAAGTCCATACGACAATTCAACGCATTGGAGGCGGTGTTCACCGTCTACAAAACAAATGGGTCTTATTTTAAAAATTTAGGCTTTTTGGGTTTAGGGGCCCAAATTTTTTTTCTGACACAAAATTTGGCCCCCCCCTTGTTAGCTTCTGGATCCGCCATTGTACCCTTAAGGCTCTCTGGAGAGGTTCCATTGTACTACATTTTCAAGCGTATCTAATTTAAGAACCGATTCAGTTCTATCTTAACAAGCACTCCCGAATATAACCTCCGGCTGTCGACCGACGAGTTAACCGCGATTGTTGGTATTCTATAGACCGCAATGATCGCTATACCCATTGCATTCTTTCGACTTCACTTCTTAAAAGAGAGCTTCGTAGTTTATAACTAGACTGCGCGCAAGGTAGCTACAGCTGTGTATTCTCAGTATTGCAAACTCATTTAATATGAAAAGCACGTGCTGCTATTCATTTCAAGTTTTAAATGAGTTGGCCATGGAATGGCGGTCAGGTCGTCAGCCAACAATCGGCAGTTGATTTCGCAAACACTAGCTAAAGAGCATCTCGGTTCACAGAGTGTCAGTTACCCCCACGGCCCACACCCCGGAATTCGAAGATGAGCTTAGAATGCAGGGTCCTAAGTTGAATTAATAGGGTTGTTTGCAGAGTTATTGCTAACTCATTAGTTTTAATTGATCATCAATGAAATTTCTCTAATGCCAGGAAACACGGAATCGTAAGATCCAGAATCGATGAATTTTAAAGTGTCTTCTATCTCAAGTTCCTGATATCTTACGTAATATCCGAATCATAATGGTACTAAAAGACTTCGATGGATTAGTTGCTCAAATCTTTAAAGGGAGAATATGCCATATAACAACCTGGATTTCAACAAATTCAGTTAAGTTGTTCAAATTTTGACATAACATTCATTATTTCTCAACCCAAGTTAAGATGTGGATTTTTTGGTAACAGTTAGGAACATATTATTCTCAAAAGCAGTGATGTGCAATGTCATGTCTAAGAGTACGATGATCTCAAACACTCATTATGCTTATTGATTAAAAATGCAAAAATGTACAAAAATAATGATTTTTCCAGAACGAAAATAACTTTCAGGCATGGAAAGGGACGGACATGATGAACGATCCCAAAATATTCCGATATCGTAAAAATAAAGGTTATTGTCTATGGGAGATTGTCCCTTTTATTCGAGAGGCTGAAAAATCAACCTTGATCTTGACCTTCTGTACTTTACGACTTTTCAATTAGGTTTCAATTAGAATTCGTCAGCGAACACAGTTTGATGCTTTTCTTTGCTTCAAGTCTTTAACAGGGAATAGGCCAAATATAGTGAACTATAGTGAATTCGTAAACATGTTGAATAACATGTTTTTGAATACTGGAATTTACTTTGCAATTCTATTTCCTGCTTATTTCTGCGAGACCTTTCAACAGGCATATTATAAGAAAAAACCAGGACATATATATCACCATGGGGGGAATGGAACCGGTTTGGTCGCAAGCACACTGGAACATTCAGAGATGCAGTGCTTAATAAAGTGTACGAAGGATCCCCAATGCTTCAACGTTAACTTCAAGGAAGGTGTTATGTGTGACATGTATGGACTGGCGGATGGTGGTTGGTATGAAACTAACAACATCTTTGATGCGTACGCTACAAGAGGGTCGGATCCAAAGGTGGTTGCCATGGCAACAACTCCAGGTAAATTAAAAACTGTATTATTATGGTAAAAGGGCGTCTTACTACATAAAAGGTAAACTTCGACTAATTGTCAACAATGTATTTTAAAATCCATCTTAAACAAAGCAGAGACATATAATACTCATCTCTATCATATATCACCCCAGTTGTCCGAAACCCATTACTCCAAATTTATAATTTACCAGAGAAAGAGGCGACGTACTTAATCTTACGCCAGTTTTATACCATGTATTTGGCCAAATTAATGGGATGGACGCATTCTGATGTTCATAGATCTCTCTCCCTCACTTTAAATTGTATCCATTACATGGCGTTACCAGAATGGCAGGAACGGGGGATTTATTTTACATTGTGGTTCTAAAAAAGGTTATTAAAACACAATATATATTACAGAACAGTTTATCTTATCTTCTTCAATCTCTTTTTATATAGGCAAAATAAAATGAAACATTTTGAAACATATGATAAAATAAGTTAAGGCATAGAACAGCATAGAATAAATTAAGGGTTATGTACTGGGAGGTTTTGGATATGGGGTTTATTCAGAGGGAGATATGCATATCTACCTGAGGGGCCGTAAGGACCGAAGGTATGTGCATATCTCACGAGGTATGAACCCAATATCCAAACCGACCGTACATAATTGCTTTATCCTATACCAAGTAGAGTTTTAAGGGTCATATGGCCATTTCAATAGTACAAGGTGTAAAAATGAACAAATCATTCATATGCAAAGTCATTTTATTGCATTTCCACTTTTAAATACATTGATAACTTTTTTGAAATACAAAAGTGTTGTTTAACAATGTAAAACTGTCTCTACAACAATATAACACTAGATTAAGATCTCACTCCACAGTTGAAGTGAAATTACCGGAATCGTGAAGATATGCACCGAAGCGAAAGATATGGCGGGAGATATGGAGGTTCTGGATATGGAAACCTCGTTTGGCCAATAATGCTATATAGCCTCGGCCCCTCACAATCTATGTAAATAATTATGTTGAATAATATGGAAATAAATAACAATAACCTAATAATAAATAAAATCTCGTAACCAGGATACGGGATACATCTAATTACCAACTTATCTCACTAAAACTCTACTTGGCATAGGATAAATGTATAATACACCTGAAAGATGAATCATCTTTCAATGTGCAATTTCATCTTTCCCATTTATGTGTTTCAGACCGCTGTGCATCATTAGGTTTAGTTGATCTAAATGTCACTGGGTCGTGTTACTACATTGACACCACCAAACGTAATGTTCTGGATGGACAGCATGCATGTCAGTCACATATTCCCCCCATGGACATTGTGTCAATAGAAGATGAGGACGAATACGACAGAATAATGTCGCACATTTGCGCTAACTTCTCATCATGTAAGTTGTTCAGTACCCTTTGCATTCGTTCGACTTCACTTCTTAAAAGAGAGCTTCGTCTTCAGTAGTCGTCAGTAGTTTATAACTAGACTCTGCGCGCAGGGTAGTTGTTCAGGTGATTGGGTGGATGGGAGTTTTTGTTCTTTTTGAGGAGAAAAAATCCAACAATGGAGACACGATTGGTCCATTCGTTTTGTCAAAGATGATACTGAGACACCTTTTGAAAATAACGATGGCAAAAAATGTTACAGTAGTCTTTAATACAGCGTGCTGAATATAGATAATCTATTTCTGCTCGCTAATAAAAATACTGAGATCAAAACATGCCTCATATTTGCAACTCATTCGTTTCAGCCACCTTATGGAATATAGGACTCAACGACATAGACGTAGAGATGCAGTATACCTGGTTCGGCACAGGGGCAACACCAATTTGGACAAACTGGGATGAAGATGAAGGATTTCCAGCTGAAGACACTACAAAAAACTGCGTGAGCATGAAGCATGGGAATGGACGATGGCTTGGCGTCGGATGCAATTTAAGCGTGGAATTCACAATATGTGAATATATTGCAAATTTATATTCGTTTGAGCGAAGCGATTTAAGAATATAAATACTTTCTATATATGTGCAGTGAAGTGAAGAAAAGGCATGAATCATGTTTTGGTGATGTAGCATGCTGTTCGAGTTGAGCAACGATTTTTGTGTGTTAGGCCTTGTTTAGTGAGTGAGTTTTATGAATAGAGAAGTCATTCTGGGCTTGGTCGCCGAACAGTCAACTACTGTTATATTACGCGTTATCAACAGAGCGTCACTTCGAGAGGACACAAAGAGCCTGCATTTTCATTACAATCAAGGGTTTTAGGAAATCGCTGAAGGCAATAATCGCTCCGTACAACCACAGAGATATGAATATTCAATTATAAAGACGAAAAGAATTCAGCACGGGGAATTCAACACAACGGCCAACGTATGAACAACTAAACAACATTAGTGATCCAAAGAACACAACATCAAACGAATTATGAGTCAACCTGAAACTCTAAGATCATGGAAGAAAACACCTCGGAACAATGTAAACTGACGAATAAAGCAGTCACGATTTAAAGATAAGTATATTTGAACCGTGTAAGTTACAAAGTAAGAATAGGTATACCAAGTATCTGTATAAAAGATCATAATAGATACAACCGCAAGAGTAAAAGAGCATATATTAGATGAGAAAAGTAGTATACCAATTTATAAAGTTTATCAAATAAGAAACATTCAGTTTATATAACCAAGAAGATAAAGGTTTTAGAAAACTAACTAGAAATACATATACATTACTTACTTGATAAAGTAGTTTAGGTAGTTTGCTATTTAGAAAACATTTCATGCTAAGACAAAATGGGATTGTTAATTTTACAAACACAGTAAAGATCATTTATAATTTCAAGATAAGAGATAGAAATCACTAGAATAACATGTTCATATCCGGTATATCAAATATTTTGTCGAACACATAATAAATAAATCAATAAACAGAGTACAATATTAGGCAGAAATATTTTTTATACATATGCACACGACATAAATTTTCGCACACAGTTCAAATTTCAAAATCACCTAAAATAAATAAAGATTATATTATATTTTATTTACTCAGTCATTAAAATAATGGCCATTTAGATTATCAATTAATTATATTATAAAACCAGTCACAAGAGAAGAAAATGCTTTACAAAATTTTATTGAGCCATGTAGATTTTTGAAGAGTATGTATTCAGAAAATTAGTCCTGAGATAGTTTTATTACTCCCGAGGATAGTGTACTAATACATAGTGCAGATAAACAAAACAGATTGCGACATTAAAGAGATATATCTTTGAAATGAAAGAGTTCCTCTATATTTTAAGAAATGCGTTGAAGTTCAAGATGGCTTTAAAATACTTTATTTAATTCTTGCTAGTTAATTTATCATTTTGGATATAGTCACAGGGCAACTTAGTCAAAGGTTTACCAAACAGCATAATACATATTGCATATAAACGTTATAAATAGACAAAGGGAGATATTATATAATTCAATATGAGATATAAAGAACGAAACCTATAGCAGATTTACGAAAGAGAAGTGACATAAATTAGAAATAAATGATCCACTGTAAGCATTGATTTAAATGAGTCACAAAGGGAAATACAGTTAATTAGCCATAGAATGCAAGCATGGCTAGTTGGCCATGGAAGGCATATACCACAAATGCACCTAATTGGAGCAAATGTGTAAATTTGATCTACTGAACTAAAAATAAGGCACTTAAGGCAGGTAGAAAAACTGATCAATTAATTCATTAATAAATAAATTAATACATAGCAAATTGTGACATGTTAACTAGCCAATTATTGCAAAGACTAATGAGTCACCGAGGGTGAATACGAAATGAATAGCATATTAATAGGAAAAAAGCTTGGGCAGACATGCAAATATAGCATATTTGGGCAGAAAACTACCAAGGGCAGATATTAAAAATCTTGATAAAATTAGATAGATGCTTAAAGAGTCACTCAGGGCAAATTAGAAATAAATAGCAAATACTATTTTAGTTAATGAAACACCGAGTGCAGGTATGGAAACTATAGCCAATTAGGGCACATATAATTAACATATTCAGGTAGGGCAGACATGATTAGTGAACCAATGAGGTCAATTTGAAATTATAGCCAATTTAGGCAGATATGATTGTTAAGCCACCGGGGTAGATAAGAAAATTATAGCCAATCGGGGCAGACATGGTCAGTGGGCCACGGAAGGCAGATTTGAAGAAAAATATAGCCAATTCAAGACAGATATGATCAGTGAGCCAAAAATATGTATACTGTATATTTACAGCCAATTAGGGCAGATATGATTAGTGAGTCACCGAAGGCAGGTATAAAAATAAAGCCAATTAGGGCAGATATGATTAGTGGGTCACATATAAAAAAAAATACCCAATCAGGGCAGATATGAATAATGAGCCGCCGAAGGCAGATACGAAAATTATTAATTACTACATCTATATATAAAAAAAAAAAAAAAAAAAAAAAAAAGGCCAATCAGGGCAGATATGATTAGTGAGTCACATATAAAAAAAAGGCAGAAAATTATAGCCAATCAGGGCATATATATATAGCCAATCAGGGCAGATATGAATAATGAGCCACTGAAGGCAGATGTGAAAATTATTAATTATTACATATATATATAATCAGGGCAGATATGATTAATGAGTCACATATAAAAATATGGCCAATCAGGGCAGATATGATTAGTGAGTCACATATAAAAAATATAGTCAATCAAGGCAGATATGAATAATGAGCCACCGAAGGCAGATATGAAAATTATAGCCAATCAAGGCAGATATATATAGCCAATCAAGGCAGATATGAATAATGAGCCACCGAAGGCAGATGAAAATTATAGCCAATCTGGGCAGATATGATTAGATAGCCACTCAAGACAGATATGACAATGGTAGGTATAAATTACCTTTATTTAAGTCAAACTTTTGCAGCATATACAAAAAATATTGCTATTACAGTTCAAAAAAAAAAAAAAAAAAAAAAAAAAAAAAAATGGAGCAATTATTTGCAGATCATGTAAAAGTAATAAACAAATGAGTACATATCAAATTATGAGTTAAATTGAAAACAAATACAGTATGGGTAAAACAGACAGATAAATACAAACTTAGCAGCAAAATAATGAAAAGTTAAAGGTTATTAAACGGCAAGACTTTAGCCTATAAAATTCAACGGTAAAGACAACCATTTCAGATTTTCTTATAACGAAAATTTGACTAAATAAGTACAACTCTCAAAGGAAAGGAACAAAAAGCTGTAAATAAATCCAGCAAGAACTATACTTCATGATCAAAATTCAACAACGTACTGTACCTTCAATAATTAACAAAGATCGTTATAATTTGATAAGTTTTACAACATTGCTTAACAAAGATATACAGGGACGAAAAAAAAAAAAATATTGTGCCAAATGTTTGAATAAATATGTACTATGAAAATCAAAATCAGGTTTTAACTAGAAATGATAGTCATTTGTGGCGTATTCATACATAGGTATTGTTTTATTTAGTATTTTAACTATTTTCTGTTGATATTTGTGTTCCAAAGGTCATGAACAAAAACAACATGGAAGTCTGTTAATTTTTATACGATACCTGTTTTCGCAGACACACTTTGCATTCGTAAAGAAAATTTTAGTCTACAATTATATATATTTAACATACGTTAATTAACGTTGGTATATTTCACATATTATGCAGAGTAGAAAAAATTTATATATTTCAAGTTAATGTAAGACACAAAATGATGAAGTGAAAAATTAAAACGTTTTCGTCATTATTTCAGAACAAAAATACTGCTGCTACATGCATTTTCAGGATTTTTGGAACTGTGGACGTTTTAAAACGATTCGGGGTCGATGGAAGAATCAACAGTCGATACGAGAACCGACCAAAGATGCTAAATACGATTTCTAGCGCTTATTATCATGGAATCGTCACCACGTCAGTCACATATGGACGGTAAGGCTCAACACCTGGCAGGACACTTCCAATGCTTTCTGCAGTCGCACAGATGTAATCTCCCACAGTGCATATATTTGGGATTCTCGACTTTGTTTGTCATATGGACAGTCGACAGATTAAAGGCAAAGATATACTCACTTTAATATGAGTAATTATATAATGACAACAACAATGATAGTCGTTTAATATACTAAACGATCGCATGGAGGTTTGATGGCAAAAACATATGATATTTTGGCATTTAGAATAAAATATGACGGACAGTTATATGATTATAAGTTTCTACATTCCCGTTCTCTAGTGTTCTGTAGCGACCACAAGCCAAAGCTTGATCTAAATTAAACGAGTGTTGTGTTGTGTTGTGTTGTGTTGTGTAACATGCCGCGTACGTAACGTAACGTACAGAATAGAATGCAAATTTATATTCGTTTGAGCGAAGCGATTTAAGAATATAAATACTTTCTATATATGTGCAGTGAAGTGAAGAAAAGGCATGAATCATGTTTTGGTGATGTAGCATGCTGTTCGAGTTGAGCAACGATTTTTGTGTGTTAGGCCTTGTTTAGTGAGTGAGTTTTATGAATAGAGAAGTCATTCTGGGCTTGGTCGCCGAACAGTCAACTCCAAAAAATTTTAAGCAAAATTTTTTAAAAAGCTATTTCTGCATTCAAACAGATTTTACCTATGATTGGGTCTGATGGGTTGAGAGGTGGGGTTATACCTTTCCATAGGGCATCGACTTCAGTCGAATAGCATCTTTGGTTTTAATGGTGATCAACCACCTTGATATCAATCAGGCAACAATTAAACGTTGCATACAAACTGTTTTACTAATTGTACAATATACCCGACACAGTTTGTGCCATATGTACACGTACAATAGGATTTACAAATGAGCAGGCCATGCATACAGTCTTACAAAACGATATCAATCAAAACAATTGTAAACATCTTGTCACATGTACACATATACTGGTATTTACAAATAAAGGGTAGCGACCACAAGCAAAAGTGTAGCGACCACAAGCCAAAGCTGTAGCGACCACAAGCCAAAGCTTGATCTAAATTAAACGAGTGTTGTGTTGTGTTGTGTTGTGTTGTGTAACATGCCGCGTACGTAACGTAACGTACAGAATAGAAAAACTATTCATAACTGAGATAGGCCGACCAAGTGATAAAACAAATCAATTCAATGGATATTAAACAGAGCCGTGAATTAATCCGCTCACTTAACCAGCTCCGGTTCTTTATCAAAAATATAACATCTTAAAAATGAAACAAAGCGGATATGTACAGTACAGTATACTATTTGAAATAACTGTTTTAATCGGTGTTTACCCCCCTATCACACCAAACTAGTTCTTACCCGTTCTTGCCAGTCCTACGAAATTTTCCTCTCGGGAATATCCTGTCCACTGACTTGTTCCCTCGGCCTGCAGCCTCGGGAACATGTCAGTGGACAGGATATTCCATTGAGGAAAATATTTTGCACTATTTCCCTCAATGGCAGTCACTATTTGTACACTATTACACTCAATTCTTGTAATCCTTAACGATCCGGACTAAAACTCTCGTTTTAAACAATACGGCAGGAATCTCTGCAATAAACCACCCAACTCATCGCCACGGTACAGAGACTACTCACAGAACTATTTACATGATTTGTGTCGTTTTAGTGTTTTGCACTCGTTTTTTTTACTAAAAACGATACAAATCATATCATAGTTCATAGTTCGCTGTGCGACTTTACAAAAAGTCCTCCTTGGTAAAACCGCTCCCCCTGGTATTTTCATGATCTCAATTTTTACTTAAGTGCGATCGCGAGTTATACTGAATTCTTTGTTACACGAAAATAAATGTACTAATTATAATGATTCAGGATTTCATCAAGAGGAGACATTTCGAATTATTACAATTCTCAAACAAATATTTGAACAGCATAATAAACTGGAAAGCATAATCATGGGCATGTTTGAAAACCCATGGCATAATACAGTAATGCCTCATTCACTGATATCTAATCCAACCTACTTGTAACAGACACTATGTAACATGACATCAACACATTTGTACACGTAACCAGGACACCCTCTCCATGTAGTGGTACATCATGGCTACGGGCCTGAAATATTCATTAAATATCGTAAGTGGACAGTAAAAGAGGCTTAGCTTCAAAAATATTACTGGTCCTTTGTGCCATTGTGGTGTACCAATGACAACCATGCATTTTCTTTTAAAGTGCCCACTGCTACAGAATGAAAGAAACAACCTCATTCCTTACAATTTAAGTGACTTGTTTAATAATTACAACTTGAATGACAAATTACAATTTTTACTGTTTGGAAACACTAACCTAGATGCTACTATGAAGGAAGCTTTAATTCATATTGTCAGCTGTCTTGTTTTATTATAAAGTCCCTTTTCCTGCATTGACCGACTTATTTTTCAAATTCTGTTAACATCCCGGCCCATGGGATAACATTCAGGTATTTTGTAAGAGCCCAAACAATTTTTCCTATTTCATTATCTAATATCTACATGCATATATAATATATATATATTAAATTGCCGCTAATGTTGAAAAACCTTGGCAATTATATTAGTAATTGTAATTGAATGTATTTGTTTATATTAGAAATAAATTGATAACATGAATAAAATAAAAAAAATTAAAAGAGGCTAGAATTACTGTCTGTGTTTTTTCTGCAAATCCCTATTCTACAGTGGCGGATCCAGAAATAATAAAAAAAGGGGGGGGGGGGGGGGGGGCAAATTTTGAGACTTTAAAAAATTAAGGCACATTTCTTGTTAAATTGACCCAGAAAGGTCTAAAAATTCCAAATTCTGCCCAAAAAGGCCCATCTTTTTGAGGCCCTACAAAATTTTGAGGCCCAAACAGCAGAGTATTTTTTCTGGGCCCACTAAAGGAGGGGGTGGGGCATGGCATCCTCCCGGATCCGCCACTGTTCTAAGACCTTACGATCCCGCCTCCTCTCGGCTTACGATCAAAATGTGATTCGTAGGCTACTTCCCGGGAATCATTTATAACCTCTTCCACTGGACGAAAACTTAAGAAACTCTATGTGGCGTGTCATGAAAAAGAGAGCTGATTTTTTTGAAACTTTGAAATGTTATTAAATATCATAAAATACACGCACAGGGCACTGCAAAAACACATAAAATGCAGTTGTTCCATGTCTACTGGACCCAAGGTATAGTTACCCTATCAAGTATCTCTGATTCGTATCCTCTTTTTACACATATTTGCTCTTGTTATTTTTATTTATTTTTCTAAAGTAAAATTTAATTTAGCCTAGTTTCACTTTCAGTTAGGCTACAACTGCTTAGACATTAGTCACAAGAGGAAGGAACAGGGGGGGGGGGAGAAGGTGAACAAAGTGATACAGTTTGGAACAAAAATAATAACACATGGATTTGCTGAAGTGAGGATTTCCCATAAATAAGAGAATTTTCAAGAGGTCATACATCAGTGGATGAGACTCTCATTGAGAGTATACAAAATGTAAAATATGCAAATTTTAAGGGATATGTATCTAGACAATATTTATGACTATAGGGCTTTCAAAACACCATGGTTTGGATATGGTGATAGAAAATCCACCTGTCATTTATTTTGTTCCAAACTGTAAACATCCCCTGTTACATGTAACTCACTAGATTTTGGTTAAAAGAGAGTGGGGCGGGGGATTAATTACTCTTTTCTTTTCCTGCTTCCTTGAAAGCCCATGAGTACACAGATAGCTATTGTAATGGGAGGCACTATTCTTATTGTAAATTGAATATTTTCTCAAAAATATGGAAGCTGCACATCACGTCAGCTCAACATCAGTACACGTATATGTGTTTCACCCGTGAAGACTCATATCCGTCATCTCAGTACCTATCTCTTGAAAGCCCATCAGTACTGACTACACATATCCGTCATCTCAGTTTTATCAAAATGTCACACTGTTTCTGCAAGTACATGTAAGTAACCAAACCCCAAAACACCAGCGCTGCATTGAAGATGTGATGTTCCCAGGGTGCAGTATTTTGTTGAGTGTTTTTGTCCAGAATATATTCCGCATAGGAAATATTGTCCAAGTTGGTACTGATATACTGTACCTTCAAACTGTGTAGGTTTCACAGTGGGGCATATCAAAGACGAAGAATCTTTTTTTTTATTGTACATTCGTCATACTAACCCATAGATTTTATGAGGACATAAAGTAGAAGCCAGGAACAAAAAAGTGATGAGGCCAAAAAATCCAATATGGCGGCTATTTTATATCAATCAGAAATATGAACAGATAGTTAGGAAAACACCATTAAAATTCAAAGTTCGATGATGACATTCAAAGAACACGTTGATAAGCCTTACGTTGTGAGATCATGCACAATTTGAATGAAAATTGATGACATTAACACATTGATAGAGGAAGTATGGTAAAAAGCAATGAGGCTAGCACCTCATCTGCCTCATCCTGGCTAAGCTAGAGATTGTATACATGTTTTTTAAATTTAACTTATCTCTCTAGATATGATTACACTACAATCTTTTTTCATTACTTATTGCTATTGTTACATATGTGTATGGTATGGACAAGGCATGCCTAATGAGTTAAATTACTGCCTGTTTTTTTCAGTGTGGGGAGGGGGTGGGTTTCTCTGGAATAAGCCAAGGCACCATCTAGCATCTCCAGGCTTAGCCTTTATATAAGCCTGGGTGCTGTCCCATCACTGTCAAAATCAGCAATTAGTTTCTGATTCAGCATCAATCATCTACAAGCTCTCATTTGTCAAGTTATATCTGTATGCTTCATCTATTTTTTCAACAGGATGAGATGAAGTACAAACCAACAGTTAAAATACCACCAGAGAGGAAAAAAGGTGGACCAACCAAATTACCTATTGCGGGGGTGAATCAAGTAATCGTAGTGGCTTCCGGGAAAGGAGGTGTTGGTAAATCAACAACAGCAGGTACAGTTCAAGTTTTGGCTCACACCCCCTCTCAGTTTAACAAGGCAGTTTTTAACTCACATATTGAGCATATGGAATCCCACACTCATTTTAACCCAAGATGGATATCATTGGAGATCTAAGATTTGATGATGAATAAATTTTAAACATCACCATCATTATTCTCATTTTTAAATATCTATTTAACGGGAAGTTTGATACAAGAATTAATGAACCTCAATTCTTGTTATTTTATCTTTATAGTGAATCTTGCACTTGGCATTAAGGCAAATGATCCAAATAAGAATGTTGGCCTATTAGATGCAGATATATATGGACCTTCTCTACCTCGTATGATGAATCTTAAAGGCCCAGTTGCAGCCAATGAAAGTAGGTTAAAGCAACAAACATGAATATAATGATTGTAATTAACGCTTTAACAGTATACATATTTTCTCAAGGAATTTTGCCTCAAAATTTTTTTATAAGTTTCAACTTGCTCAAAACGTGATAATTTTTCTGACTTTCCTCATTTTTAAGTGGGTGCATTATAGCACTACTATGTATTAAAAAAGTCTCTTGCAACATTGGGAGTCAAATTACAAGTAAAAAGACAGTTAATTCTAAAAAGAGTTAATACCCTACATGTATGTACTCCCTTCACTTTTTCTATACATTCTGACATACAGTGGAAACCCCAGTCAAAGAAGTTACAAAGAGAAGTTGATGTCAATGCTGTCAAGATGGTCACAAATTCTCAACTACCATGTCTCACTTTTATATATAGTACCCCAGACAGGTTGAATGATGCAGTCATGTTTTTATGGAAAGACTTCAGGGGGCCGAAAATTTTAGAGCCAGACAATATTTGAAATGACGTTAAAAGTTCAATTGTTCAAGCAAAAACCTGTATTTTATTGACAGTGAAGTGTGTTTGAAAAAAGCCTATCAAAATCATAAAATTGGAAATATTGATAAAATATTTGATTTACATGTTGGAAATTGACTCTTGAATAAATCTTGAAAATTTCAATAAGAATGGTTGTTCCATTGCAAATATAGAGTAGAGACAGCCCTGTTAAAAATGTTCAACCTTGAATTTGGGACATTCAACCCCATGATTATTTCATTGAAAAATTGAAAAACAATGGATGAAAAAAACAAACCGTTGAAAAAAATACAATGGTTTTTTTTCAAGACATTGAAAAATTCAGTTGTAGTATTCAATACATTGAAAAAAATTCAATCATATATTTTGCTTATACAGTAAAACTCCTCTGATAGAAGTAGAAAAGTTATTATAGGTTATCTTGGTATTTATAGTTAATGTGAATGCTTAAAACAACATTTAGTGTTTGTGAAAGATTTTAAGGTATTTTGTCAGGAGATAATGATTGATGATGTTTAAAAGTTTCATTGTCATTGGTATGCTAGATGATCTGTTTAGAATTTTCTATGAGTCAAATCATGAGATCAACTAAATTATTTTTTATTTTAATTCAAAATTACATTATCTGTTTATAATTTCCCTTGATTAGGTCCTTGAAAATACAAATGAATAGGAATGTTATTAGACCTTGTTAAAGTATTGTTTGGATGGGTTTAATAATCAAAGAATACAATTTCAAATTAACCAATAAATTAATGATTTTATGTTCAAACTTTATGTTGCCTCTTTAAGTTGATACTAACTTTGGGTGCTATTATAAAATAAGTGATCTAATGTTCTATATGTCTCTGGTAAAGATGATTGTTAACAAGCTGTTTATTTTTTTATATAGAACCACATCCTTCCATACATTGTATAATATAAAGTATATATCAAACCAATTATTTCATTCAAAATTAATGCATTACATTAATTTATGAAATTATAGTAAGATTTCACTTTTAAGTATGATAATTTAGATCGTATTTTCCCCATACAAATTGAATATAGGCCCCAGTACTCAGGGAGTGCGATAAAAAGATTTGTCTACTTGTTGGGAGCATACAATTTTTCATAAAAACACTAGAACAAAATCAAAGTTAAACTCATAAATTTTGTTATACATAAAGAATTACCTACTACATGCAATAGGTATATCTATCATATGCGGGTAACCTTCACTTCTGTTTGAAGTCCAATAAAGCTATGAGTAAAACAGTGACAGAGTATAATACTCTAAAATGTACCACTTCTTTTTCAAATTTTTAATGGCAAGATATAGTGACATTAGAATATTTACATATGCTTTTAGTAAAACTTTGAAGGTATTAATGAGATCTAGATGTATTGGGTCTTTTTCTTTTTTTCATGAAATTAATGTTAATTTTTGTCTACCATAGGGGAGCATTTTCAAATATGAAATGCATTAAACCAAACCCCTATCCCAATTAATGACCATTAAACCAATTTAAGAAATGATAAAAAGATTTCACTGTTTAGTATGATATTTAGATTATATTTCCCCATATTCACAAATTGAATACACGCCCCAGTAAACAACCCCCCCCCCTTTCCCCCATTTTACTATGGGGAATCACAATTGCTCTAATATTATGTATTTACATTGTATGATAAGAGAGTGTGATACACTATGAACCTACTGTGATGTGGTCCATGAGGACATTATACTCCCAGGCATATACTGTTCATTCATATGGCATACCTGAACTAATAAGTTACCAAGTTTTTAACTTATTGTTTAAAGTTAATGCTAACTTTAGATTCAAGTACAGATGTAAATTGCTTAAAGAATTAATCAAAGTTTCATGTTTACAAAATTCAAGCAATAGAAAATTATGCAAGCAATCATAGAAAATTATGCAAATGAGTCATGTGATCATTGAAAAATTTATGTCAAACTCACTTCCACCAGCTAATATCTTAAGACAGTTCTTATGACCAGTTTATATTAGAGTATATTAGGATTGCTTGATGCCTTATTTTAATCACTAGATATCACCTCCAATTAATTCAATGATATTGATATATTTTATATATAATCGATATCATTTTTCTTAACTTAACCCTAATTTGTTAAGAACATCTTTTTCCTACTATATTCTATTATTATTCTAAATGGATGCTTATTTACCATTGGATGAAATTCAATCATAAGACTGATTATATAGGAACAGGATGTGCCTGTGAGTTAAAAATAACCAAATACATATGATCAAAATATAATAAGTTAATTTAATGTGGATGTTGTAATTAAGTCCAGACATGTTTTATTTCTTTGACATCAAAGACTATTAATTCATGAGAAAATTATGCCTTTTCATACATTTGGATTAGTGTTATTTCAATAATACGATTATAAATGTAATCATTCTCAGTTCTGATGAGCTAAAAAGAAATCAATATCCTAGATGCGAGTAGAAATAATCTTGATTTACCTCATTACAAAAACTCACAATTCAGTCAAACTGGTATCATATTTGGAATCTACATGTAAAATTACATCTAGAAATGTGGTTTTGAAAAGAGTTTATCAACTTTGAAAATGTGACTTCTAGGTCGGGGAGATTTCCCATAGACCCCATGCTTTAATTATTATATCTTTTATTGACAATTTATATCAGTAACATGATACATTAGTCACTAAAACACTACAAACTACTACTACAACTATTCTAACTACAAATAATAATTATTATACAGTGTGATGCACACTATTAAACATATACACTTAAATTTTGAATCCATATGATATGTAAATTTTCCAATGTATAATTGAACATTCAAGTGTTCAGTAGCCATTAACCTTTTAAAAATATCTGGGTCATCACAATCAAAACTTGGAATAATTTCTTTTAATTTCGAAAACAAACATTCTCTAAGAGTTACATATTTTTTACATCTTGTGAGAAAGTGTTCTTCATCTTCAATAGAATTACATGTTGAACATTTTCTCTCATTTAGAGGTTTAGGGGCAGGTTTACAATGCCTCCCAGTCTCAATATGCAACTGGTGTGAACTTAGTCTAAATCTTGCAATACAATGCCTATACTTTCTATTGTCTAACTTTAAATATGATTCACATTCAAATTTAGTTTTATATTTGCAATATGTTCTAAGTATGCCTTGGTCACATTTGCTCCGATTTTCACTACGGCGCCCGGCCGATTGAGTATTTTGTTCAAAATTGAATACAATATTGAGCAAAACACTCAATCGGCCGGGCGCCGGCCGAAGGATCGGAGCATATGTGACCCAGGCATAAAACCACAGTGAAATATCTTTTCTTGTGTTGGACAGATAATATTTTCTTTTACTGGACATATTTTAATTTGTATAACTATCACATACATAAGGGTAATATGAAAAGTGAACCACTAAAACTGATGAATATTCAAGTTTAAGGGAATTTTGTAATACCCTGCCATGTTATTTCCCCAAAATCAGCCACCTGATGGCGAAACTGGTAACTACCTACTCGCATTTGAGTAATTGAATCATTCCACTTTTTTAACATCCTATGAGACATATTACTTTATCAATGTAGTAATAGAAATAATAGGAAATATACTTAAATATAACTTTTATCAATTTTTAATCTTAAGAATATTAAATCTTTTGTTCAATTGTGCATGATCTGATCATGCAAGGGTTATCGCTGTGTTTTTCTATTGGCATCATCAACTAAGTTTGTATTTTAATAGTGTTTTATAAATATAACTTAACGTTCAGATTTTTGACAAATAATTTATGTTCCTATTTCGGACTGAGTTACATTATGCCATTTTGAAATCTGTGTAATGGAAATATTGTAGCATAGCTAGATAGTAAGCAGGCACGTAGCCAGAATTTTCCAAGGGGGGTTCACTTTTCCAAAAAAACTCTAGGGGGGGGGGTTCACTTTGGCAAATTTGGCCAAAAATCACTCAAAAAATAGTCAGAATGGTGAAAAACTGCATGATTTTGAAAGAAATTTTGGCCAGGGGGGACCCCCCTGGCTACGGGCCTGGTAAGGCCCAAATATTATTTCAAACATATTTAGGGCCTTTTTGAAATGCCATGCTCTTATTTTACAGTAAGTAGACTACATATAAATGGCCTCTACTCCCCCTCCCAAGAATGAAAGTGCTTTTATTCTCCTTCTTCATCTAGTTTGATCTTGCAGGGATATTTCTTGTATCAATGCAAAAACTTAAAAATTATGAACAAAACTACAAAAAATATGTAGATATCAGCAGTCAAACATTTATAAGAATAATTTCATTTTGACCATTCTAACAACAAAGAGAAAGCTGTTGAAATCAATCTTTAATGGTCTTCCTGGTCACAACAGGTTGTTATGAAAACAAAAGCATTGATTGCACTTATGATTATGTAGCTATTATCCAAACATTTGTAGTCTTCTGAATTCATTGAACGATTTAAATTTGAAACGTATAACAGATCCTCTAAACCTAATTTGTAAACCTTATTAAAAACATAACCTCATATAATATGATATTTCTAATGATCCATTGAAAAAAGTAGCAAAGTTATTACTTTTACTATTTCATAAGATCTTATTATCACACTTTTGTTCAAGGGTCACATGACTCATTTGCATAATATACAATGTTCATTTGCATAATATTCAATGTCTTGAATTTAGCCAAAAGTGTTCTGCTATCCAAGTATTACAACTGTTATACCACAACACTACAACTGAAATGATAAAATATCAAAAATTACTTACTTACATTATATATTGAGTTAAACTAAAAATATAAAACATATCATTCTCTTGATATTCACTAGCAGATATTGTTGTTCGTATGATTGAAAATTAATGTTTTAAACATTTAACCAATCTGTTGATTTGATTTTGGTTCTCATATTTTTTCCAAACCCTATAGTGTTACATGTACATGTAAGTGTGGTGTAGAACAAACATTTAACATTTTTCCATTGAAATTAAAATTATAGGTTTGTGTTCATTTAATATGAGCCCAGACCTAATTCATTGATCTGTTTATGTTTGAATGTGTGTTGATTTCATTGTTTTATTTTCTTATCTATTTACAAGAGTTGCCTGGAATTCCCAATATACTTGTTTGTATTTTAAAAAGGCAATAAGTACTTGGCTGTTCTTTCTTGTCACATTCATTTTAATTAATGAGTTAAACTATATGAAAGGTGAAGTGAGTGTCAAAACACTAATTTCATGCCAAATAGATTTTATCTTGCACCATTCAATATCTTGATAAGTTGAGAATTTAGTGACAACATGGGCTAGCCTACTAACTGGGCATCATATGTAACACCCTCACCCCCCCCCCTCCCACTAAACCCAGTCATGTTTATGTCTTTCCAGTGATATTCCTTCCCTGTTGCATCAGTTAATAAACTTCAAATTGGACTGAGAAATCACCTTTTCAATTCCAGATTGAACTAAAAAAAGATTAGTGAGCAGTCAAAAGTATTAATTTGATAATTGATGTGTAATATCTTTATATTATTATTTTACATGTGTTGCTTAAAACTATACTGAATGATAAATGTTCTTGTAGATTAGGAATAGTATGATTTGTAGAATTGCTTCTCCTTCATAATGCTGTATAGAGCAACTGTGGGCGTAGCCAGGGGAGATTGTTGAAAAATTTCTGTGGATCCCTTACCCCCTTTTCGGATCTCGCTTCGCTCACAGAAATGCACACCCCCCCCCCCCTTTGACGCCTGCTGGCTATACCCCTGGCTACAATGATTTATTACATGCACCTATGATAATAACAATTGGAGACTAAACTCTAGAGTCCATTTCACACCTTCATTTCGTCAGTAGAACGGCAAAAATAAGAAATTGGGAGACCATTGTGCAATAATATATGGAAAAGTATATTCATAATGTACATGAATGACATTTGTATATTTCAGATTTTTTAGTTTTTTGTGCAATAAGCCTGTGCCGTCTTGTAATTTGAAGAATTTCAGCCATGTTAATCTTATTGAAAATAACATGGCAGAGAAACATCCAAATATAAGAGGCCACACACTTTATAAGCCAAACTAGAAGCAATCCAAGATATACACATGTCATTCATGTACATTATGCATATACTTTTCCATATATTATTGCACAATGGTCTCCCAATTTCTTATTTTTGCCGTTCTACTGACGAAAGGAAGCTGTGAAATGGACTCTAGTTACTGTACAAGGGTTGTTAAACCAACAAATTAGTATTAAATGATAACAAAGGGCTAATTTCTTAATCTGTCCATTTCCTTGTTTTATTACTGTCTGATCAGAACAACCTTGATTACTTTTTATGTCTAGCAATTATTTTAGATTTGATGAACTATAATCTTTACTTCATTGTTTTAGAATATGCTTTCATAATAAGCTTAGTTCATTTAGGTACCCATGTACATTATGGGCCTTACTAGAAGATTAAGGACTACTGTATTAAGAAAGAGATTATTAGGTTATTAGGTCACTATAGTGGTAATATATAATAGTTCCTATGAATCTATACCTTGACCATTAATGTTAGCAGTTATATAAATGTAAGGATTGGGATATGAGAATGAAAATTCTCTTGATCGGTGATTTATGAAATCAAACAACAAATAGGAAGTGGTAATATCAATACATATATTGATATTCCAGAGATTGACATGGGCATAGCCTGGGGAGTGCCCCCTCCCCTCACCCCCACAAAAAAGCAATTTTGTAAAATTTGTTGCAAAAACATTATAAAATTACATTTTGAAATGCTTAGATTGCACTATTTAGATTTTTAAAAATTTCCAGGGTTCTTAGTGATGCAGATCCAAAGAATTGCACCCCCCCCCCCCCTTCAACACTTACAAGTGCTGGCTACTCCCCTGGATTGATGTACTCTTTTAAATGAACTTTTTGATCACAACAGATTGTATAATTATAAAAACAAAAATGTTGATTGCTTTGGTAATAATTTTCCAGCCATTTGCTGTTTATTGTAATTCTTAAATCACTTTTAAGTTTGGAAATGGATGTTAAAACTATTTTTCGAATTTCTCTTTTAAAAAAAAAACTTTAATATTAAATGTTCTAAATGAACAATTTCATTAAGAAAAGTTTTAGAAACATATTTCCAAAAGAACATTTCAACAACTTCACGGGTCACATGATTCATTTACATAATATTCTATGCTCATTTGCATAATATTCAATGTCTTGAATTCAGCAAAATTAAAACTTCTCAACTAATATGTGACTTTGGGCTTTCTTGAAAGCCCATGTTGTGACTAATATGTCATCGTTCTGGAATAAAGAGTCAATAAAATATATATTGTATTATATACAGGTCCATCCCAAGAGATTGTGGTTTTTAACAACTTTTAAAATATTATCTTCTTTAAAAATGTGGCTTCCAGGTCGGCAAAGACCCCATGTTACAAAATCACAAAAGTGAAATATCATTTCTTGTGTTGAGCAATGTGCAGATAATATTTTCTTTTACTGGACATATTTTCGTTTGTATAATAATCAGACAGATTATATGAAAATTTATTGGCTTAAACTTAAATATATATACCTGCCATGTTAATTTACCCACCCGAATCAGCCACCTAGTGGTGAAACTAGTAACTACCTACTAACATCTGGGTAATAAGGATTTGATTGTATCCTGACAATCAATGTGATATTTGGTCTGCATTAGCTTAATTTCAGAACTTGTTCAAGATAAACACTGTAGCTTCTTTAATACCAATACATCCTTTTCTTCAATTTCTATTATTTTAATCTGATGACATATATGAACTCCCCCCAGAGTCTTAAATTCTTTCAAAAACAGCATCCTTCTTCAAAGGACTTAATTTATTTATGCTTAAATTATGGAAAGAAGTGAAAATCCTTGAACCAAGGATGAGGAAAAGCAACTCTACAGAGTAATAAATCCCAGCAAACAAAGTTTTTCAAAATACCAACCATCATGAAAATTCTTGAACAGAGCTTCTTTGTCTCCAGGTATCAGCATATATAAGATTAGAACCGAATCCATTATCTGATATTTGAGTTATCAAATATTATGCTTTTGCTTTTTTACTTCTTTTTTTCCACTTGTATACAACCTATCCACTGGTATTTGATTTATACATTTTTTTATGAAAAAATGGCGGCATTTTTGAAATTAAGCTTTCATCCTGGCAATTTTTTCTCCAGAAGAGCTCCTTTGTCCCTAGGTATCAATAAAATAAAACCGACAGATAGCTTTTCTAAATCCCCTGGAACTTCGTTCGATGACATGATCATGCAGTATTCATCATCTTTAGCACTTTCAAAGTGAATTAGAGCCAAAATGGTCATATCTGAACACCCACCTTTTTTAAAGAATGAACCACCTTTGGAAAAAAGACCTGTCTGAATGAAACAGTTTCAGCAAGAATTTAACATATTCTTTACTGTTTCGTATATGCTGGTTTTACTGTACCTTGAAATCATCATTGTTTTTCATTTTCAATGGGTTGCAGGTGAAATTCAAGGTGTTGAATTATGTTTTCAAGGCATTGTTTTAAAAATTCAAGGGATTTTAACTAACCAATGAAAAATTCATGGCTTTTTTCATCTGTTGAAAAAAACAACCTTGGAAAATCCATTGAACAACCATTGTACAATCATTGATGTCCCAAATTCAAGGTTGAACATTTTTAACAGGGAGGACTACATCATTCAACCTGTCCGGGGTACTAGTAAACATATGCTGATCAATATTATAATTCTTATTGCAGAAAAAATAATGATGCCTTTGGTTAACTATGGGATCAAGTGGTGAGTCAGCAATTTCCTTAATGTATGTTAATATGAGACATTTTAAATGAATGTGTACCAAAACAATCAATCAATATCACTCATTTTTGGCCCTATGAAAATGACATTAGAATTTCAGAGTTTGCACATATGAAATTGTGACTGTTCTATTTTGTAGTATGTCTGGCAGTTTTATTATAGATGAGAATGATCCCATTGTGAATGATCTATTTTGTAGTATGTCTATGGGTTTTATGGTAGATGAAAATGATCCTATTGTGTGGAGAGGTCTTATGGTTATGTCCGCTATACAGCAGTTTACTAAACAGGTACTTTTAAGGATTTAAGTCTTTTCTTTATTTTCTTTTAAGATTCAGGATATCAATAAAATGTTTATATCCAAATGTTTACAGGTGTAAAAATGTAAAAAGAACTTGTTTTAAAAATAAGTGGCATTTCAACCTAAACATCTCAAATTGGTCCCAAAAACCATCAAAACTGTGCAAATAATTAAGCACAATTTTGTTATCTTACAATATGATACGTTTCAAACACAAGTTGTACAAAATACCAATAATTGGACCCCCTGTTGTCATATGTAAAAGTATGATGTCTTTATACAGGAATGCGATGGTAAAATTGTGCATATGATTTTTTCAGGTTGAGTGGGGTCCCCTTGATTACTTAGTGGTTGATATGCCTCCAGGTACTGGTGATGCACAGTTAACCATGTCCCAAACTATACCTGTAGATGGTATGTGTCATAATTATAGTGCACAATTATATATTTCCTTGTGTGTGTTATGGGTCTATACGTGCTACTTTTACCCAAATGTAGTGTATTGTATATTTAGATCATAATATGATGGTGCTTGTCATATGGTGGAGAAATACATTTTCTAAACTTCTTGAATATCCAGAGTGACAGAAAATCTTTTCAACAAAATGGCTGTAACTGTAAATAACTGTCACAAATTCTCCAAATTATGCAAATTATGTTTTAAGATGTTTTTGCTATTTTTACCTAAATGTAGTATGTTGTATTATTAATATCATAATGACAAACTGACAAATAATATTACATGAATAAAAAATCCATGATTCAGTCTGCCGTCAAAGTCAAAATTTAATCTTAGACAAAAAATTATTTATAAGGACCCTTCTTAATCTTATTGTAGGTGCAGTGATTGTAACTACTCCTCAAGATATTGCATTGTTAGATGCTCGGAGGGGAACAGAAATGTTCCGTAAAGTTAACATACCAGTATTGGGGGTAGTTCAGAACATGAGTATGTTTGAATGCCCGAAATGTGGTCATATGGAACATATATTTGGTGCTGAAGGTGCTAGGCGATTATCATTTGAGATGGGAATTGAATTTTTAGGTAAGAATCAATTCTATTTTGCCACAAAGAAGTTGTGACATATTGTTAAAGTCAAAACTTTTTATTTTAGCTGGTATTTGGAGTCAGTATTCAGAATTGGCATCTGTAATGATTGTTGTACCTTTGTAAATGTAACCTCGCGATGGCCTTTTGTCATGTAAATGCCTTGTTATTATAATTTTCAAGACTGTTTAAAACCACAAAAGATATAATAAAAAATGCTTTATTAATTAAATCTCTTTCCATTACCCTGGTATTCCATCTGTTATCTACACTACCCTCTGACTAAAGAATCAATCTTACAGTTTTTTTTCAGCACTTATCATAAGTGGTGACATATTGTTATAGTCTTCAACTTTCTTGTAAATGGTGTTCTGCTATTGGTGTTTGGCGATTGGTCTTCAGTGGTAACAAATGGCAGGTGGTGATATTTTGCATGTTAATGCCTTGTTAAAGAAATTCCTGATATCAACCAAGATAGTAAAAATCCTCTATTTTAACATTAAAGGTGATGTACCATTAAACAGTGCCATACGGGAGACATCAGATGATGGCAAACCAATAGTCATCTCAAAGCCAGATTCGCCACAGGCAAAGGTGTATAGAGACATTGCTAAACATGTACTAAGAGTACTACCCCTTTATAAAGGACTAGTAGCCAAAGTGACTTGATTTCTCTAAGAATTATAGGATGTGATTTTAATTTATTATTGTTGCATGTGATGCAATAGGAAAACAAAAAATAAAATGTAGTGCAATGATTTATTTGTTTGTCTTTATTGATTCAATGAGCAATATTGGCACACAGTAATCTTCCGAATCCCAAAGGCTTTAAAATTGAAGGAAAGGAATCTCTTGGAAACAAAAAAATGGAAAGATCCACAACTTGATGTTAGAAGAAAAGAGTACATTGTACTTTCTGAAAGCATACTCCTTAATTGGACATTTAACACATAAATTGGTAAGTAAAAACTTTTACAAAATATAAGTCAACACAACATGGGTCTATTTCTAAGTTATTTTGAATTATGATATTTTCAGGGACCTAACCTGGAACTAAAATTAAGAAAGACAAATGTTAATAAGTAAGGCAAAACCTAAGCCAAAGAGAGTATTACACTTCTTTGGAATATAATATTCTAGTTTATAAAATGTTGCCTGCGTTATATGAGCATATCTACAAACATGGTATAAACATCATGTATGACAAAACAAAAATACAATTTGTATTTTGTTTATAAAAAATAATTTATTTTTCATTATTAACAACATTCATATTAAGGCTACAGTCTGGTGCACATCCCCAGGAAAACATGGCATATAAAGTGTAAATTCATGTAGGGTTTGTTACAAACTGAGAGACTCCTTGGAATTGTGCTCCAGACTATGCTCTAACCAACCTGATTGTATAAGGCACATAATAGTTTCTGTGTTTTCCTCTTGAATAATTAGTCTATTGCATTAGCTACAAGAAAAACATAATTGGTTGATATTTTCTTGTGTCTTTGCAATTTGGCAGTACTGGCTTATACATACATGTATACAACTCAGAATGTACAACAAATAGGTCGAGGTTGTTCAATTAGTTTTGTGAATACCTTTACTGAATTGGTCTCACCAGTTAATGATTTTGGTTTTTGAGAACTCCATTTGCAAATAAGATAAATATAATTGAGTGGTGGGAAAACTAGCAAATGATTTTAAAAGGAATTTTTCACAAAACTTATTGACTGACCTTGTACAAAGGAAATGTATAATACCGACAGGGAATCCTTTAAAGTTGAACACATTGGTGTCTGACAAAAAGTGATCAGCCATTAAGCTGTTCAGCTATAGGGTTTTCTGTATTCTGAATTTTTCTCATTGAATCTTCCTGAATGAAAATCTGATATTTTCTCTACAGATATTTATAAGCTATATACAAAATTTACAGTTTTTACAAATAAAATATTTAACAAAGTTTCTCTTTCACAGGAAAGGAGATCATGAGATTGTCTGGAACAACTTCCAGTGAGATAATGCACCTGTGATGATCTGCCTTTTTAACAAGAATTACTAAGCCCAATCTTAAAGCTGAACTCTAATTATATCTTTTAGATAGAGTCTCACTATTCTCAAATAAATATAAAACTATGTACAGTTAAATTTGTGAATGCGCTAACATTTGGTAAATCAAAATAGTGTTCTGCTTGGGAGGTGTCCCACTCAAAGAAGTTCATTTAAATTAAGTAATAGGCAAGAGGTTTGAAAATGGCTGACAGGAAAAGTGACAGAAAAGTGTGCTTATGGATCTGCATCACAGATTTTACTGTAGTTATATCCATTGCGGATAGAGCTGTTAGTGATTAAACAAATGCCTATCAGTGCAACATTAATTATATTCAATATAAACAGCAAAAGCCAATAAATAATATGCGCACCTGCATTTCTAGTGCATACAGTGAAAAATTTTTATACTTATGAAAAACCCATACTGTCGTAAACATGTACATGTATATTTGATTGTTTTGTTTCCTCTTATTGATTGTATACATATAAAGTTTATACATCAACATGTTTGTTGTGAGAATTATAAAAAAACATTATTCATTTTGTGAAACATTTTTCAGAAATTGTCATTGACAAAAACATATTTAACTGCACTTTTCTAATGTCTAAAACGACTGAGACTTTGCTTCTAGATATATAAAAAACGGTAGATATTGAAATAAGAGATTCCTTCTTCTAGAGTTTTAAAAACAGATATATTTTGAATGGAAATTAAATGTCTGTTTATGTCAAGTGATCTGATACAAAATGGTTTAAGAAAAAGGTTTTCCCAAATACAGGATGCAACAATGTTGTAAAGTCACATAGTTAAATCAATTTAGGCGCCAGCCCGTTCAGGCTAGGCGCTTGGACGCCATAACCACGAGGTTGCGAGTTCGAGACGCGGTGTGCTCCGTGCGTTTATTCATTTATTGGCCCAATATGTATGCACTGTTAATAAGAGACATTTATCCAAGATACCACAATCTCATAGACAGTATTCTATTAGAAAATAATAACAATTTTATTTACTTAATGCAACAAGGCCACTTCATTTATTAGGGTATTTGGTTCAGTGAAGTAATGAAATCTTTGTGTGCATCATAAATATTTAAGACCTGCTGATACGAATTGAGTTTCAGACCATTTTCTTCATATATATGTTCAAAAAATAACTAAAGTAATTGCTCCAGGTCTCTGAAACCATAGTCTTCAACCACAATCTGAACTAGTGGATGCAAAAACATCAATGATTAATAATAACATGCTGCCTATATGTGTAAATGGTCCCACTCCAATACAACTGATGCAAAAAAACTACATCAGAAAAGATATACCTCTCATAGAATCTTTTTGCAGTCTTCTATCAAGTCGCCCTTTGTCTGTTTTGTGGAATGGAAGAGTACTTTTGGAGGGGGACGGGGGTAGGGACCCTGGACTTGACAATATTTTTGCCCTTGCGAGGCACATTATCTGGGTCCTCAATCAATGTTTCAATGGTTACAGATTGATGAAGTTGCAAGTTTTTTTCTCTCTCTAAGGATTATCCGTTCTGCCATTTTGTCCCCCTTTGCCTGGTTTGTGTAATTGAAGAGTACTTTTGGAGGGGGAGGGGGGAGGACCCTGGACTTGACAATATTTTTGCCCTTGTGAGGCACATTATCTTGTTTTAACATCATTTAAGATTCTTAAATTTCACTCTCATATTCTGGGTCCTCGACCAATGTTTCAAAGGTTACAGATTTATGAAGTTGTAAGTTTTTCTTTCTCTCTCTGAGGATTTCCCTTTCTGCCTCTTTCTCAGCATCGACTCTCTGTAGTTCTTCACGACAGAAATGATACGTAAACCGAGCGCAGAATGTATGGCTGACTATATTACTGGTGGTACGGATTCTGTCCCTGGAAAAGTGAGATAATGCAATGAGATTATACAATATGATGTACACTGATGAAATTGTCAAGGTGGTAAATTACATCCATGTATTTAGTCTCTAAAAGTTTAGTTCTAGAAATTTTCCCTTTAAACTATAAAATTAGTTTGAATTCTTCCAATTTTTAGACCTAAGACCTCGAAAAAACTGTTTTACAAGCTGTTAACTCATTCTATTCTGTCTACCTTAACATATTCTTGTAGTTAAGTATGTAAGTTTTGTACTTTGAAAATGAAAAATAAATTTCTTAATAAAAATGTATTTTCTTACAGATACCACTCTACTGCAAATAGGAGGGAAATATCTTCTGTTGGAATGTTGAGTGTGGTCAGAATTATTACCAGGGTAACTATACTTGAGCTAGGCACAGACGGTAGAGCCAGGCATGCTACAGCAGTGAGTATCCTAAAATACATAATAAAAATACACCACATCTGTAAGGTTCAGTTATACAGGTTGTCCATAAAGTCTATAGTTTACGTGGACTTTGTATTGTAATTGTAAAGAGACTTTATGGACACCCTGTATCATCCTATAAGAATGCGATACTAATACCTGTATGCCATATGCATGTACCTGTTTATATGCATTGTGAACATACGTTTGTCTTAAATCTGCAGGCAAGTTGAGTCCAACAATAATTTTATAGAACAGGTATCGGTTAATCATTTTGCAAGATTTTATTGAGATGTAATTATCAATTATTCCTCGATTATTTTATATTCCTTGAACTTACCCTATGATAAGTATTTTTCCAACGTTCATGTCCACTCCAGATAGCTGCCCAATAAATATTGCAGCTGATGTAATATACAGGGCACTGCCATCAGCATTTAGAGTAACACAGAATGGAATTACAAATTTCGACACTCTTTCATCCACTTTCTTCTCATCGCATGCACGCAGCATCTCTGGTATTGTAACTGCTCTGGAAAATCAACACATATTGTTCAACCACATGAATGACTCCAAAGAAAACTGCACGGAATAATTACATTTTCAGGTCTGAACATTTTGAGATTATCATTGCAAGGCTGAATATTTCAATCTCAATTACTTAATATTTTTAAGATTAAGCATCACAAGATCAAATATTTTGATTTAACTAAAATATTTGAAGATTTTACATTTTTTTGATAGCATATTTTCAAGATAAGTCATATTTTATAGATTAATTGTTGTCATGATTGAACATTCCTAGATTGAATATTTCCAAGAATAAAGATCTCTGGATTGAATACTTTCAAGATTAAACATTTTTATTTGATTGATACATTCAAGATTAACCATTTCAGAATCTTTTTAAGATTTTTCATGTCTTATGATTTAAAGGTGCAACAATTATTGCAGGGCGGCTATTCAACGATCATTGACCAGTGTCAAAATATATTTAAGTTTGGATATTTCATCAAGACTAACATATATTTTCATTATCTACAAAGAAACCCCCTGGATGAACATATTTCAGCTGATCTTCCTCATGAAACAGGGTGGATCTTAAGAATCTATAAGTGGGACTCCCTTTGTAGAAGCTTTGAACTGAATTTACACTTCTTATTGCTGAAATTGATAGTTTATACATACATTTTAAGAAAATAGGTATGTCAAAGAAGAAAGTGTTAAGCAAAATATTGACCTGATAGCTGGAAAATCTTCTAATTTTCTCTTTACAGTCCTTGTTGCCCCTTTAATTCAACGGTACTTAAGGAACTCACGTGCTTGTAGCAGCAAATCCTGTAAACCATGCTCTTGATATGTTCACATAGAAGGGGTAAGGGTTCTTCCTTGTTGCTATGAAATGTATAAGAGGTATAACCACTGCCTGGTGTATCACTATGCCAACAGTCACTGTCAGGATAAACAGGCCTGGAACATAGCATCAATGCAGTTGATTAACGTATACATAAAAATATTGGGTGAGACTTGAGATAATGTATGCGGCGCCAGTCAAAATTGAAACTTCTGATTGGGTTCGAAGCCGAGATGCCCGGATATGTCCCAGCAAAAGCCGGAATTCACGTGATTTTTCACGAAGAAGGGGCGGAGTTTAGGCGAGATTCATCGAGACTTCTTCGTGTCAATCCCTGCATTGCTTATTGTTAACTCCACCTTTTTGCCCATATATGGAGATGGAGATGCCACTTGCGAGCCAAGTTGCGAGCGTGAACAGTTCAGTCTAGAAAATAGAAATTTCTTAAGCGATGTCTTTCTTCGATTTTTCTACACGATATCTCGATAAATAGTGGACATATTTGTACCATTCTTTCGTCAAAATGAGGGTATCGCTGGAATACATATTTCCAATCTGTTGGTCAATAGATTTATTCATTGATACTGGCAGGAATTAGATCGTAATAAACATGCTAAAATTGTAAAACTTGGAACGTTTGACAGTAATCTCCGAGTAATGTATGAATTGCATCAGGAGAAAGCAGGAGAAAAGCTAGGACAGTCTGTTGTGTGGAGTTTGCAAAGCAATCCCGGATATAAATGACGTCATCTTAGCAGTTTACATGGTTTCGAAAGTGATATATTTTAGCTAGGCTTGGTCCAAGGGGCCCGTCTTAATTAAGTGCGTATTGAATTAAATGGAGCCTGGGTGTCGTAGTGATGAGTTTGAATTATGTCGATTATTCGATTGTTATATATAAATAAACATCGATCTTCGGCGAAGATAAAGTAAGAACAACATATATATCCGAGAAACATGTTGGTAAGTACAGTATTTCATTTATAATGGCAGAAAATCAAATTGAATCGAAATCGAATTTTCAACTTTTTCAATTTTTTTTCGTTCGATTATTTTGATTTTCAATTTGATTTTTACATTCTATCTTCTTCGTCCTGCGGGACTATACTAGGCATAGGCCCGGAACATGTATAACGTTGAGCAGGCCCGTAGCCAGGCGGGGGGGGGGGGGGGTTCGCAGGGTTCGGACGAACCCCCCCTGGCCAAAAATTCTTTCAAAATCATGCAGTTTTTCACCATTTTGAGCACTTCTCGAGTGATTTTAGCCATATTTGGGCCAAAATTGTCAAATGTGAACCCCCCTGGAAATTTTTGCAACTGAACCCCCCCCCCCCTTGGCAAATCCTGGCTACGGGCCTGTTGAGTCAAATTCACTTATAGAACAGGAATGTAAAAAACCCTTCGACCTACGACCCTTCGACCCTACGACTTACTGGGTGTCAAGAATTTTTGGAATATATTTTATTGAAAAACCCTTCGACCTCTGATTTCCCAGTCTAAATGATTACGTATAGTTCCAACTTGAGCTCCCTGTGCACGCAAATACGCATTTTACCTGGTAATTGTCAAGCAAAAATGTTTCAGTAGAAAAATTTCTAAAAAAGTTCGTCTACACAGCAAAAATACGAACGCCGAAAAAAAAACGTACGCATTTCGTTCGGACTTTTCACGCGAATTACGTATATGTCACGCATTGCGTTCGAAATTTTTCGTCTTATTTTACTTTTTTACTAAAACTTGAAAAGTAGTTGAACGATTTTGAGATCAAAAGTTCGATGGGATTTGCTCCACCTCGCGTTGCTGTTATCTAGTTCTGAAATGTTTCATATCTATGTCTAATAAATATCGTAAAGGCTAGAGTACCGACAATTGTCGGTACTCTAGACTCTGATGTGGTGGCACGCTAGAGGACCGACAAATAAATTGTCGGTACGGGAGATATGCTGTGTTTACACGCTAGAGGACCGACAAATATTGATTTTCGAATTTTCTGGCGCATGCGCAATGCGCGGGGGGATATTTCAGATATCATACGGATATTTTGGGAACAAGTGCAAAACCCGGGGAGGGCATTAGCCCTGGTTACTTCGGTCCAAAGCCTTCTCTATATTCCGGCTTTGAGGAGGAAGATTGAGCTGCCTTAGTATTATAAATATTGTAAATCATTGTGTCACACGCACGGTAAATATGGCATAATAATATGAAATATACCTTTATGTATAGATTTGAAGAACATCAGCTCACATCCCCGTCTGAATCTATTGTTATATTTGATTTCTTTAAGCGAGAATAATTTCAAATTTTATTCACGTCCAGAACCGGAAGCCATTTTTAGCTACAGCGAGAAAATTTCATCATGTTTCAAACTCCGAAATGAAATTTTGAAATATCTAAATCCAGGCAAGCAACGCTTCATCTTAAATATGATTAATATTCTTAAAAATATTTATAAAATTTATTAAAAATGAGTTCTAGGTGCGTGTAGCACCTTTGCTAGAGTACATACGAAATCAATGAAGTTCCGTCTAGCTGTAAGCTAGAGACTCGAGTAAAGCCCCGGTTACCCGGGGATTACCAAACCCAGTCAAAAATTGGTAGCCCGGGAACGGGGAATGGTAGTAAACGTTGAAAACCCAATAAAACATGAACAAGTAAGACGTTAAAGAGCTATTAATGCAGAGTAAACGGCTATATATTCTAAACAGACAGGATATTTCTCCTGAGCCGATCAGGCGTCATCCTCCTAAGCAGGTGTCCAGAATCAGTACCTCCTTCTTCCCCCTGCTATAAGCAGTTAGCATTTCCCCGATTAAGAACTCGCAATTTGATTGGCTGTCGCAACACTGCGACAGCAACCATGTACACGTCATTAGCGCATTATTAGATCACGTGATTCAGTTTAATCGGGCGCGTCCAACTTGGTTATAGCAGGGGGTAAAAAGAAAGAAGATATTCTGGATTTTGAAGCCCTGTGATCGGAGGATGATCAGGCGTAGAAAGGGGCGTTTGCTACCCATTAGAAAGAAGAAAATAGCTAGAATGTTTTTTATTTGAAGCTTATGGTATGAGGTTCCATATCCATCCGCCAAAAGGTATAGTCCATTTAAAAACCTGTGGTATCATTCTAAATAACCCATAGTTGGCTTCTAGGGTACCTAGTATGCCACTATTTGGTATCAAAATAAAGAGGAGTTCAACTTACATTTGAATTACGAAAATAGCGATGTAGGTGAAAATAGTTCCGAACGTGAGCATGTTTACTACGCGTTTGCCCGTCATATCAGAATTGAGGAAGTGGTAGCAAACGCAAGTTACAATAAACGGACGCTGATATCTCAAAAAGTAACCTGACTCCCTATAATTTGATGTAGGTCAATCGAACCCCTGACAGGTGCATTTTGATATATAACACTATGGGGGGTAAGCTTCAATTTTTGTCGAAATAAATAATGGCTCACTACAAGTTAATGCCTGTACGATTCCATACTGCAAAAGAAGCACTATGCCCTCCCCACCCCCTCAAAAGAAAAAAGTAGGTCCTGCCGGGATTCGAACTCGGGACCGAGTGCGTTCGAGTCGTGCTCCCTAACCACTAGGCTACCAGTAATGAGGTTAGAATGTAAAAGTAGTGGATTTATTTATGAAATTGTCGGCTCTCTAGCAAAAACACGTAGCAGCCACTTGCGTACCGACAATTGTCGGTTCTCTATCTGGCACTACTAGGTGACGATAGAGTGCCGACAATTGTCGGTACCCCAGCAAATACCCCTGGACAGTCTTCAGTACCGATTTACTGAGGAGGTAAGAAACGTTCACATTCGACTGTGCTTGAATACATTAAACCTGCACATCGCTCCAAAACGCAATATGTTGACATATATCAGTGGTTTCAGTAACTTTGTGTACAAGGGGCAGATGAAAAATACAAGAGGCGGCATTCAAAATAACCAATTTTACGCTCCAGACAATGCAAATTCTTGTTATTTTAGAGTCCATGGACTGAAAGAAAGATGTCCAAGGTTTGTCAAAGTCATTTCCACGTGTGATGTGACAAGACATGGGCTCCACAAAATAACACCTGGAACTGTGGAATGACTAGGGCAACTTATATAGAATGTCATTTACCTTTTATAAGATAACTTACCCTTACACAGGTTGCATTTCACAAATCCAAATGCACCCGTTGAATTGAACACTTTTAATAGAAATCAAAATCTAGAATTGTCATTATTAAAATGAGAGTGATGTATTAATAGATGATTCACTTGTGATTATGTGTATATCAGATTCATTTTAGTTTTTACCGCCTCCAGACATTGCCAGAAATGGTGACATACAGGGTGTTCCAAAAGTAACAGGACTGGTGCCGGTATTTTGTTAAATATGCACCAATTGTCTTCAAAATTTTACATAATGTACCTTCATGTTTTGTAACTAAAATTGCCGAATTAGATAATTATTGTCGAAATTGATTTAGAAATCGGCCGATGACTAATCATCGGCCGGCGCCCGGCGCATATGTGGCCAAGGCATTAGAGAGAGACCGAGGTGGGAGATATCCCCTTCCCCTCTACACCAAACTTGTTCTCACTACGTTTTCGAAAATTGCCTGAAAGGCCTCCTCACACATTATTAAGGAAAACATATCTACACATTTTGCGCATTTAACCATTTGATAACATATTGTGGATCTAATCTTAATTTGTTAATGTGAATTCACACCTTCATTTGCATGGAAGACTGATAAAATCCTTTAATGATGATTTTTGTTAGAAAGCTGATGTTTGGCTACTTCGAAATTCCAAATTGAACAGTCTACTAAGAATACCATGTTGTAAATATTGTTTTCAATATGTCGAGCTAGGACTGCTCAAACAAATTCGCTTTTTGTAGCTACAAGTATTTAATTTCAATAGATGATAAACTTCTCAATATAAGAAATTACCCTCATATAAGACATTGTTGCAAGGTGTGTTGCAATGAATGTGGCACCCCGCATTCCCGGGCCCGCATTATGTATTCTCGAAGAAAGCCATCATGATAAGCCATGACATCTCATTTCTTCTCAGCCCTGTGTTTCAGGTGAAACAGAAAGATGCCATGAGTATCAGAATGG